GGATTATGATTGTGCCATAAATTTGTTACCTGGAACGATGCCTCCTAGTGGTAAGGTCTACCCGCTTTCTGAGAAAGAAAACCAGGTCATGGAGGAGTACACACAGGAATCCTTACATAAAGGTTTTATCAGACGGTCATCCTCTCCGGCTGGTGCTGGTTTCTTTTTTGTTGCCAAAAAGGAGGGCGATTTGAGACCATGTATAGACTATACGGGCCTGAATAATATAACAATTAAAAATGCTTATCCTATCCCTCTCATTACTGAGTTGTTTGACCGTGTTAAAGGTTCTAGATATTTTACTAAACTAGACCTCAGGGGCGCTTACAACTTGGTTCGGATAAAAGAAAATGATGAATGGAAGACAGCGTTCAATACACGCAGTGGGCATTACGAGTATCTAGTCATGCCTTTTGGACTGTGTAATGCTCCTGCTGTCTTTCAGGACCTCATAAATGATGTCCTTAGAGATCTACTGCATGTCTGTGCTGTGGTTTATCTCGATGATATACTCATATTCTCTCCTGATTTGGAGTCACATCATGCCCATGTGAGAAAGGTACTTAAGAGATTGCTACAGAACGGTCTTTATTGTAAATTGGAGAAATGTTTATTTGACCAGAAATCAGTGCAATTCCTAGGGTATGTCATTTCTGAACAGGGGTTCAGTATGGATCCTTCTAAATTAGAAGCCATATTGTCTTGGCCTCTCCCTCAAGGCCTTAAGGCAATACAGCGATTTATAGGCTTTGCCAATTATTATCGCAGATTTATTAAAAACTTTTCATCGGTCATTTCTCCTATCACGAAACTAACTAAAAAGGGTTTGCACTCCAGGGTTTGGACTCCTGAAGCCATCAAAGCTTTCGAAACTCTCAAAAAGGCATTTGCCACTGCTCCTGTGCTACACCATCCTGATCCTTCCCTTCCCTTTATAATGGAAGTAGACGCTTCAGAATCAGGTATAGGAGCTGTATTATCACAAAGATTATCCTATAACGATCCCCTCCATCCCTGTTGTTACTTTTCTAAAAAACTGTCTGATTCGGAAAAGAATTACGACGTCGGGAATAGGGAACTATTAGCTATTGTGATGGCATTTAAAGAGTGGAGGTACTTATTAGAAGGAGCTAGACACAAAATCCTGGTTATAACTGATCATAAGAATCTCTCCTATATAGCTGATGCTAAAAGGTTGTCCTCTCGTCAAGCCAGATGGTCCTTATTTCTTTTACACTTTCAGTTCATTATCACATATAGGCCTGGGTACCGTAATGTCAAGGCTGATGCCATCTCCCGACAATACGAAACTTTGGAGTCTATCACCCCCACTCCTGAACCCATTGTACCCACGTCTAAGATAATAGCTGCTACCCGTTTAGTTATTTCGTCTCTTTTTCTTGATGGTATCAAGGCATACCAAACCCAAGCACCCTCTGAGACACCTGTTGGTAGATTATACGTGAAAGAGAAAGATAGAAAGAAATTATTAGCTTTATTTCACACCGCCAAAACGGCTGGCCACCCAGGGGTTACCAAAACATACAAGGGTCTCCTTCAACAGTTTTGGTGGCCTTCACTTAAGCAAGACGTGGTGGATTATGTGCAGGCTTGTCGTGTTTGTGCACAGTGTAAGTCCCCTAATGTCAAACCCCCAGGACTCCTAATGCCTTTATCCGTACCCAAGAAACCATGGACCCACTTATCCATGGACTTTATTGTGGATCTTCCTTCATCCGATGGAATGACAGTAATTTTGACTGTGACGGATAGATTCTCTAAAATGGCACACTTTATTCCACTTAAGAAACTACCTTCTGCAGTTCAGTTGGCTCAGGTTTTTGCCAAAGAGGTTTTCCGCTTGCATGGTATACCACAGGATATTGTATCTGACAGGGGTCCTCAATTTGTCTCTCGGTTTTGGAGGGGCTTTTGTGCTGAGATGGGGATTTCCTTGTCGTTTACTTCCTCCTATCATCCACAATCTAATGGAGCAGCCGAACGGGCGAATCAATCTGTGGAGTTATATTTACGTTGCTTCACGAATGTACACCAGGACAACTGGTCTCACCTCCTTCCTTGGGCTGAATTCGCCAGGAACACTGTGACTCATTCGTCCACTGGCTTAAGTCCTTTTATGGTTGCTTATGGGTTCCAACCCTCTGTCCTTCCCGGCGTGTTCTCCGACAAGGGAATACCCGCTTTGGACGAGCACCTCACCTCCTTACGGAAGATGTGGGATCAGGTCCATGCTACTCTTTCTCGTGCGACTGCTACTCAGAAAAAATTTGCTGATCGTCGTAGGGGTGCTGCTCCCTCTTATGTCCCGGGTGATAGGGTTTGGTTGTCCTCTAGGAATCTCCGCCTCAGGGTCCCCTCAATGAAATTTGCGCCCAGGTTCCTTGGCCCCTATAAGGTATTGCGTAGGGTCAATCCTGTGTCCTACTCCCTGGCTTTGCCTCCTTCCATGCGTATACCTAACACTTTCCACACCTCCCTTCTGAAGCCCCTGCTCTGTAATAGATTCTCTGGTCCTCTCAGGCGTCCAGATTCCCTCCGCGCTGTCTCTAATGACATGTACGAAGTGGCTGCTCTGCTTGATTCTCGTTTTTCTCGGGGTCGCTTGCAGTACCTGGTTGATTGGAAGGGTTACGGCCCTGAGGAGCGGTCCTGGGTTTCTGCCTCTGACTTGAATGCACCCTCTTTGATCCGATCCTTTCATGCGCGGTTCCCTTCGAAGCCTTCGGCTTCCCGCCCATTGGGCGGGCCTCGAGGGGGGGTTATGTCAGGGATCCGCGGGCGGCTAGGAGGGGAGGCTGCACGCCGCTTGCAGCACTCACCCTCACTCCATCACCGCCCGTGGTCTCCCCTCTGCTTACCTCTCATGTATAACGCTGCACGCTGGGAGGTCAATGAATTATGTAAACGCCGGGGTCACGTGAGTGACCCGGCATTAAAGAAACAGTACCACAATCACAGTGGGGGGTATAGATATCCCCCACGTGTGATTGTTAATTCTGATTGGAAGTTATCCAATCAGAATTAAACCAAGGGTATTTATACTTACCTTTCCTGTCCCTCAGTGCCCTGTTGTGGTCTTGTGATACCTGTAGCGTAGTGTTCTCGTCTTGCTCTCTGGTTACCGATTACTTGGCTTGTTATTCCGATTATTCTATCTTCTCCACTCCTTTGACCTCGGCTTGTTTCTCGTTCTCCTGTTTTCTGGCTCCCTTTACCTGGCTTGTCTCCTGACTATTCTTAGCGTGCTTAGCCCGGCCACTCTAAGGTCCGGTACGGCACCTTTTCTGTGTGTGTGTGTGTGTGTCAGCGTGTTAGGCTCCCCGAATCGTGACAGGTATCATACGTTAGAGCACACGTTCCCATATCAATGACCACCCTTGCCAGATGGGTTCGTTGGATACTGTCTCTAGCAGGCGTAGATGCTTCCTTCGGGATCCACTCGGTACGAGGCGTGGCGGTGTCCTCAGCCTTCGCGCCGGGCGCCTCGCTATCAGATATCCTACGTTCGGCAGACTGGTCAAGAGAATCCACGTTCTGCACTTTCTACTTCCGCCCGAACTCTGGTGCGGCTATGTCACTCATACAACAGCGTTAAAAAATGCAAAATAGGAAGCCTCCTGTCATGTGATAAAATTGAAGATTATGCTAGCGTTAGTGTATTTATAATCTTAATTTTAATAATGACAGGAGGCAAGTATTTTCCCACCTGGGGAAGAGGGAAATCTCTGAATCACTATATTATTCACGGTTTTTCCTGATATCTAGCTCTATTCGAGACAATATGTGTCTAGGTTACCACCACACTTAACGGTTAGAGTTTGTCATGGTATAGCCAACCAGTAACTAAGAATATTGTATTATTAAGCCAGGGGCCGCTATCATTGCTACAACCAGTTTGGAGATCAGTGCCTAACCCATTTCACATTCTCTTTCAGTGTAATTTCACGAGAGCATGGAATAACTGCAGGAAACTAATCGGATTACTGCTCAACCCATGAAGACCATCGTCCTTGTTGGACTTTCAACCGTTGATATTTGTTACTGATCTTCCTCAAAACCATCGTTCTATTGGAATTTTCATCAGTTGGTGCTGGTTACAGACTCTATATCTTGAACTTCTTCCCTGATTACGATGTTGCTTCCGAAAGAGGGGGAGGAGCCTATTTACTGGGAATATCATACTCCCTACTGCATTTTTGATTGGTTAAATGTTTCACTTTCTTTACTGCTGTGGAGTTTAGTAAAGAAAGTTATGGAAAATACTCGCCTCCTGTCATTATTAAAATTAAGATTATAAGTACACTAACGCTAGCATAATCTTCAATTCTCATTCACGCACCCCAGTAAACGCTATTGACGCAGATACTTAAGTTCCTAATTCAGCAGAGATGAGTATAAAACAAACTACCTTCCGCAGCAATTCTGTGTTCACAAAAACTTTGCCATCTTGTAATGCCTCAGGTCATCCACAGAGATCTGTTATCCATCCACATATGTGCCCTGGCACTTCTCCAGTACTACTCCAGGCCGTAATTATATGCACATGTCATGCTGGCACCAAATGCCAACTCAAAAATAAAAAGTTATTTTTTATTTTTTTGGGGGCTAAACTTTATTTACATATTAAATTTTTTTAAACTCTCCCTAATGAGAGTTCTTTTTAAATGATGGCCCACAATATGCCTGTAATTTCTGTTTGTTTACACACAGTGTGTATACAGGGTGCACACAGTTAGTGCTGTGTATACAGTGAGGATGTCAGTGTTTGTGTACACACAGTGTGTATACAGGGTGCACACTGTTGTTAGTTAGTGCTGTGTATACAGTGAGGATGTCAGTGTTTGTGTACACACAGTGTGTATACAGGGTGCACACTGTTGTTAGTTAGTGCTGTGAATACAGTGAGGATGTCAGTGTTTGTGTACACACAGTGTGTATACAGGGTGCGCACTGTTGTTAGTTAGTGCTGTGTATACAGTGAGGATGTCAGTCCCCTCCTTGCTGTGCTCTCTCCTCCCTCCATAGGGCAGTATTAGCCATCTCTCTCTCTCTCTATATATCAGACACAGGATCTGCCTTTCGCAGCCGCCGCCTTGCCGTCAGCTTGCCCGGAGCCTGCTCTCCGCTACCCTTCAGCAGCCATGACCGAACAGGGCAGCAGCAGCAGCAGCAGCAGCCGATATCAGCAGGTAGGAAAGTGCCTGTTGGGCAGAGCGGTGGGCCGGGGACACGGTACGCGAGCCCCGGGGATGAGCTCTTGTCAGCTAGGCCGCAATGTTGCCATCAGCCTGCTGGGGGGATTGAGCTCAGCAGATACAGTCATGGCAGGATGGGCTGAGCAATGCAGCACCTTAATACCGAGCCTGCATTCATACTGGGCTATATGTGAACCACCTTTTACAGTGTACACCCCATCTAACATTAGCTATGGCCACAGTGCCATAGATAGCCATTACAATATGTGTAATGCTGCAATACAGCTTAATGATTAGTGATCAAGATTCATTTGGTATACTGCACACGTTAATCGATCCAAGTGTTATGAGAATGAGATGATATGTTACATTTTATACGTGTGTGTATATATATATATATAATCAATCCACCCCCTGTCTACCATTGGCTCTGCAGCTGTTATACTGCTCTGGCTAGCCAGGAGTTCTGGGTCAAATAATTCAACAACTGGAGGGCCAGTCTTGGACACACATGGGTACAAACACACTCATCCTGATGACCTTTGACATGCCAGACATGTAGTGATGTAAAATAATTCATCTTAGTCTCTACTCAGTAATTATGACTTTTTGTGTGTATGTACATGTAGCAAAATCATGTTCGTGCTCACATTTTGAGTCTTTTGAATAATGTGATGATGAACACGACCTTTCAATGCAGTGCAATTACGAACCATGCATAATTAAATACTGCAGAGTACTGCACTTTAGTTCTAGTACAGCCAGTAGCCATCAGCAATAATTTGTTTTCTGTACAAAAGGATCATTGTGGTTATCTGTGTATGTGTTGTTTTTTTAATTTTATTAAAGGCTTCCTAACCACTACTGCAACATGTAACTGCAGCTGATACATGACCTGTTCTTTACCTTTTAATTTACATTACAATTAAAGGTACACTCTTTCACCTTAACCACTACAGCAGACTTTAGTGGTTATAGTGTGAAAGGCCTTCAAGTGCTGTCTGCTTGCCTTGCTATGTCTGTCCCTTCTTATCAGAGTTGGCCTGATAAAGCACAAGTTCATACTGCTGCATTACCATGTCAACATTTCTCACATTTAACCCCTTATGGACTAAGCCAAATGTACACGTTGTGATCAAAACAAAACCTTGAATTTACCCTATATGTCTGTTCAGGCGTAATTCACCTCTTTCATATTATGTGCACCCACACTTATTATATATCATTTTTTTTCAGGGTTTCAGGGAAACAGGGCTTCATTTAACATCAAATATTTAGGTATGAAACATAATTTTAAAAGAATATAATAGAAAAAAAATGGGAGAAAATAAGAATTCTTTTTTAGTTCTACGTGGCATTTTAACTGTGAATGTCATAATACTGTTTGCTTTTACTGCAATAAAAGACACATATTTGTATTCAGCTATGTCTCACGTGTAAAACAGTACCCCTTATGTACAGGTGTTATGGTGTTTTGGGAAGTTACAGGGTCAAATATAGCAAATATAGCGTGACCAAGTGGCTACTAAAAAAGACTGGATATATACTCCATTTGCAATACTGAGAGTTGTCTACTATTGCAAAGGGTATGCCATCATGGGGGTAATTTTCATTCCTGGGCTACCATACGGTCTCAAAGGCAACGTAACCAATCTGGTGAATTTCAATGTGAAAAACTGAAACGCAAGCCTTATATTTGACTCTGTAACTTTTGAAAACACCATAAAACCTGTACATGAGGGGTACTGTTAACTAAAAAAAAAAATATCACAACAATTATATTGTCAGTGTAAGTGCCATTTGTGTGTGAAAAATGCAAAAAATTTCACTTTCACTGACGATATCGTCGTTGTAAAACATTTTACTGTTTTTAAACACTAATATTTGTGTTCAGCAAAGTCTTCCGAGTAAAACAGTACCCCCCGTGTACAGGTTTTATGGTGTCTTGGAAAGTTACAGGGTTAAATATAGTGCTAGCAAATTAAATTCCCTGGTCTTTCGGCGTGGGTTGTCAGGCAGGTCCCGCAAATTGTAATTAATAAAATGACGTAATTATGTAAAATTTTTACATAAATATATACATAGAATTATTGTGTGTGTGTGTGTGTATGTGTGTGTGTGTATATATATATGTATATGTATGTGTGTGTAATTTCGTTCTAACTGTATTTTGATTATATATATATATATTGATATCAAAATACACGTATTCCGCATAGGGGCAGCATCCACAGCCTCCAGTGTCAACATTCCAGTTTATGTTATAAAAACACTGGGGCGCTGGAAATCATCTGCTTATTCACGGTACATACGAACCCAGTACAAGAATTAAGGGATGCTTTCAAAAATATGTCTGGTTGATATGTGTATCTGTATTGGTTGTCTGTGATAAATTTGATTACTTAATGTTTGACCTCATCGTCGGTTCCGGCACACCACAACCGACTTGCTCTTTTTACTATCCTACATTTCATTAGGGTATTTTTACTCTGTACTATCATGAGCACCTAACACAAGTATTAAGGCAATTTGGCCTGTAATTGTGGGAGGTGCTTATTATCCACTCCTGGCCTACTTAAGGAACACCCCTTACCTTGCTCCTTACCGTTCGAGGTCAGCATTGAATGACCCTCCCACCACACCACATTATAACATTTATTTTCCTTTTTTATTTCTTTTCCTTGGTAAGCCCTCTTCTTTCTCAGGCCTACTTCATCGTCGGTTCCGGCACACCACAACCGACTTGCTCTTTTTACTATTTCATTAGGGTATTTTTTTTACTCTGTACTATCATGAGCACCTAACACAAAAAAAAAATAAAAAAAAATAAAATATATATATATATATATATATATATATCTCTCTCTCTCATCTCATTTGGTTCTACATGTATTTTGATAATATATATATTAAAATACAGTTAGAAATTACACACACCCACACACATATATATATATTAGTATTTTACACTGTTTTTATTTATTTATTTCATTCTTTATTTATGTTGACATTTTTGCACTGTTTTTAAACTTTAATTTTTTTTTTTACAGGCAGCAGGGGGAGTATCTGTCGTTACAGGCACTCCCTCTGCTGGCTCTGACATGGCTATGCCATCCATGTGATCGTGAGGTCCTCGCAAAGACCTCGTGATCACATGGCCCAGGAGGGCCAGAACGGCAGCAGGGGGTCTCTGTGATCGCCAGCGACCGGGTAAGTAAATAGGACGGCGGGAACGTGCTATGCCGCTTGATCCCCATGGACGGCATTGCACGCCCTCCTTCCTTAAGGGGTTAAACAGTATTTATTAGCTGTGAGTGTCAGCTGATCGCTGTCAGCCAATCAATACTGTTTAAACCTGATTGCATTGGTGTAAAAACATGGCAGTATCAAATTACACTTTGTAAGGCCAACTCAGGCCAGATGGTCTGCAGGAACCCAACCCCGCAAGGTGAAAGTGAAACCATGTGTACATTTTTTGACAGATTACTGGTGGACAGCACTTGGGAACATTATAGAGCAAGCATGTCAAACTCGCGGGCCGCATGCGGTCCACACTGAGTATATTTGCGGCCCTCCTAACCTGGTACCGCTTTGTGTGGTGGCTGCAATCAGCCGCACGACAGGAAAGCTTTCATTTCTGATTCTTGCCTTTCCTCCCATGGCCGCAAGAGGGCAGAGTGGCTGTCTGTCTGCAGAGCAAGCCAGCCACTCCCCCTTCCCTCCTGCTGCAGTGCCAGAGGAGCGTCCGGCCTGCTTAAACAGAGAAGAGCAGGGCTGGAACTGGAGGATGGTGTGGCTCATCTTGAGGTAGGAGAAGAGGGGCTTTGGGGAGTTTCCTGTGTAGTGTGCTTAACTGGGTGGGGGGCAGTGCATTAATTTGAGGGTGGGAGGGGGCAGTATATTAATTTCGGAAGAGTGGGGGCCAGTGTATTAAATTTGGGAAAGGAGTGGGAAGTGTATTAATTTGAGGGATGGATGGGGGTAGCAGTGTATTAATTTGGGGAGAGAGGGGGCAGTGTATTAAAGTGGAAGCAGTGTATTGGATTAAGGGGCAGTGTATGAGATTGGATTTGGGGAAATGTACTGAATTTATGGGCAGTGTATTAGAATAGGGGAGGGGGCAGCGGATTAGATTTGGTCTGCATGGAGGCGCTGGAAGCTCGCCATGGAGATGCTGATTGGCCGTGCAGCTTTTTGCCACACATGCACAATGGCTTCCAAATGCTTTCCTATAGGAAAGTATTGGATTGGCTGAGATCATAAAGTTTGATGATCTCAGCCAAAGTGAAGAACTCACTCATAGGACTTCAAAATCAACAAAATAACCTCATTTGATTTTTACAGCTGTGCAACAACATACATTCACCATTTCAGTCACATTACCAAACTTTTTCTTAATATGTCAAGGTAGTTTGACTGAAACAATGGTTATATGCAAATGCACGTCTCCTTAAAATAAATTCGCTGTTTTGTTTACTTTGAAACCCTACTTTGAAACCTGACAGCGTTGAATAACAGAAAAAAATAGCGCTAAAATTGTCTGAACAGATGCACTTTGTGATTTTCGTAGCGTAAGGTCCAATGTCAGGCAACTTTTTTTATATTGTACTTTTCAAAATAAACCTACGTTTCTATTAAAATGGACGTTTTTTTGGGGTTTTTTTTTGTGCCCTCATAAACTTAAACCTTGTTTATTTGGCCCGTGTTACCTTTTGAGTTTGACATACTTGCTGTAGAGGATATGGTTCCTAGAGTGTCCCTTTAATTTTCCGAAAGAATGGAGACGCTACGAAAATCACAAAGTGCATCTGTTCAGACAATTTTAGCGCTATTTTTTTCTGTTATTCAACACTGTCAGTTTGTTCCATTTGAGGTGGCAAAAATGCTGAGTTTAGCTGAATACAGCATTGCCTAGGCCAGGGGTTTCTAATCTTTTTTGGACTTCATTGATAGAAATCTCATTTTTTGTTTTCTAGGCAATTGCTCCATTCTAGATAAATGTTTCTTTGAAATGTATGTGCTTAGCAGTTCAAGACTGTAATAGTGCACGCCACCTGCCTTATATAGCTGTAACCTGCTTTGCTTTGATTCACACGGTTGTAACATAGAGATCAAATGATTATCTGTTATTCATGAAGTCTTATTTTTTTGCACTAGAGACTTTGTTTGAATGTATCCAGATAATCTGGGAAAAGTTTATCAAGATTTAATCTTAACCCTTTAAGGACACATGACATGTGTGACATGTCATGATTCCCTTTTATTCCAGAAGTTTGGTCCTTAAGGGGTTAAAATCTTGTAGATCTTTTAGACAGAAACAAAATTTGCATTAACATTTTTATATAGTTTAGTTTGGTTATCAAACACCTTGTATATTTTTGTGATAGTTTCCAGTTCAATTGAACCTTTCACTCCCTGTTTAACTTTAGCTGTAACTGCTCAGAAGTTGGTAAATATATAATTTTTCATCGTGATAAATTGTATGTTTGTGTGCTTTGGAAGCTGTTCAAGTGTTACCTGCTGCCCCTGGCTCCAGCATCACAATTCCTGTAGGGAAGTGAGTGTGAGTTACCTTCCAATGCTGCCCTCTCCATACGGAGTTGGTTATGCTTGGGAGCACTTTTCCAATCAGGGCAATGCTCTCATCATGCTGGAATCATCTCAATTAAGTTGTTATTGTGTCTGGCGTTCCTGGGTGCCATATTACCTTCTTGATTTAACAGATTTTGAATAGTTTCACCCCAAAGTTCTCTCGACCGCTCATGGCCCCCAGCTTTTTCCTACATACTTTCTCTAAAGTATTTCTCTAAGTGGGCCACCATTGATAGATTTCAGAGTATCAGTGGTGCCCAAGTGGATGGCTTCCACATTGAAGCTGGGGCTGAAGAGGAGACAGAGGGGCTGAACAGATGGGCTACGTTGAGAGGGCTCAGAAAGCGGTTTAACACCTTAAGGTAAGACTGTGCCCAGGAATCCAGACTCTATAGAAACCTTTGTTGAAATTATGTTGTTATGGTGCCAAGAATGGTAATTTCAGTGTAAACACAAGATACTTTGCTGTTCCTTGTATTGCCATTTTATTGATGATATTTAAAGGGACACTGTAGGCACCCCGACCTACTTTAGCTCATTGAAGTTGTCTGGGTGCTGTATCTCTTTTGCACCTAGTGCTGCTTCTCTGGAACTGCAATGTTTACATTGCAGCACTAAGTCTGCCCTCAGTGGGGGCGCTTCTGGAATCGTAACAGACTTTTGGTCCGATATCTGATGGTCCTCCTCCAGCGTCAGATTTTCCCCATAGGAAAGCATTAATTCAATGCTTTCCTATGGGGAGGTCTAATGCATGCACGCATGGCATTTGCTGATACTGCACATTAGACTCCGTTCGCAGGATGGAGGAGGGGGGTGGAGCTTCGACTCAACACAGAGTGACATTGGCGTTGGGATAAGGTAAGTAAATAAAGGGATTTTAACCCTTTATTTACCGGGGTGAGGGGGTGCGAGGGAGGGAGGAGGCAGAGGGATCGGTAGTGCCAGGAATACAGCTTTGTTTTCCTGTCACTACAGTATACTTTTAAGTCATTCGGGGTGGTAGTAGGGATGATCTGGACAATTTTATTATGTTCCTAAAATATTAAGGTTTGAGTCTTATTCATAAAGTTAATATTAACAATGTTGCATTTCTGCATCTAACTTTAAGTGGAGGAGCATAAAGAATTTATATCAAAACCCTTTTTAAGATTAAAGTTAATCTATAATGGTTTTTTGGTGAGTAGCAGTCACCACCAGAAGTAAATGACTAATCTACATCTTGGCCAGTTTGTGAGCAGTAGGGGTGATCGAAGCATCTTTTTCTGATTGTGAAGAAGAAGCATGGGAACTCATCAATAGATTTTTGGAGAAACATTACCATCCAGATACTACTAGAAGTAAATATGGAATGAAATTCTGTAATTAATGTTAATAAACAGATTATAAAGGACTTTGGTCTGAATAAAAATAATATAAATATAAAATGTTGAAATTCATATGCTTTCAACTAATGATCAAAATATGACATTTTGGATATTCTTAATTGTCTAAATTTATAAAACTAGTAAAATCACATTGAAAAGTGATACAGTTTATTGTTTGTTATAAGGTATAGCAGTTTCTATGAGCAAATTATTGGCCTACTAAATAAGTAGTGGATTATTTTTGTCAAAGACCTGTGGTTGAAATTATCACTCACCGACAAACAAAGATTGATCTTTACAGAAGCTCTTAAACGAAAAGAAATCTTCTTGATTTAGCAAAAGTACTGTAAACAAAGAACAGACCACTTTAGGTTCCTTTCCTTTAGGCCGGTTATTTTAGATGTGGCAGTATTAATTACCTCTTCCTACGTGGGCTATGGGACACAGAGCTTTGCCTCTGTGGTTAACTTTTTCCTGATATACTGTACACTATGCAGTTGTGCTTATGTAATCTATCTGCGTGCGTGTCACTGTGGCATACAGTATAATGGGCAGAGCTACAGAGTCCATAAATTACATTCAAAGAACACAGAAATTCTGCTTCTAACGAGAACTTAAAAAAAACCTCCATTGCTATTCACTTTCAGGATTTGTTATTCAGTTAAGATTATATATATATATATATATAGGGCTGTCCCTTTGGAATGAATTGAGTAGATGTTATGTCTAGGTGAGTTTCAATATGTGAGGCAAAGTAGGTTAAATATACCATTGGATCCTGCATGTATAGCTTCAACAGGTCTGAAGACATTCATTGAAAGATACACTGCTTAGCAACAACATTAAAATCACTTATGCAATATCGTGTAGGTCCGCATTCATTCATGTGGTTTAAAAGGCACTACGTACCCCTTGTGTGTGTGTGTATATATACTTCAGATATTCTAGAAGACATATTTTTGCAAACTTGTTGGCTTATGACTTTGACCTTAAATTAGTTACAGAACTACTTCATAACTTTATGTCCTTATTAAATTATATCATTTATAAAGCCCCGACCGATTCCTTGGTGTTGTAAAATAGTTGGACTTGTACAATATTTGGACTATCAAACTTGTATTTTGTAACAAGACAAGTTGGAGCAGAAGGTGCTGAATTTACAAGCAACTGAGTAAATCAACCTATTTTATTCTCTTCTAAATCATACTGCATTCAACTTGGAGAAACTCTGGAGATATGACACTTTTTTTTTTCCATATTATTTTATCAAGTAAAGCTGAAAAACTTGACGCACAAGATAAGCTACTCTAGCAACTCAAACTTCTTTAAAGTGTTGACTCAACTTGATTCAGAAGATAAGTGCTCATGATCAACTAGCCTAATTCTTTTCATTTTTTGGGGAAGTTTTTAAGTAGGTAAGCTAGAAGGACTTCCATCATGTTGTGGCTAGCTTTCTGTTTTGTTTCTGGATCATTTGGTTTTCTTCTTTTCCAGTTTTTTCTGCAACCAATATCTCTGGAACCTGAATGTTCTATTGGAGCACTAGACAGAGCTATGTAATTAAAGCATTTTCTTCATTAGAAGTTCCCCTACTGACTTTGATGAACCACTGGTGTTTGAATTCAGAGAAGAAGAAACAGACCATTATTTTGCTGAGAAGGGCTGTGTTGAGAGACTTGCCCTGTTTTCTGTCTCCCCATCTCCTTTCCCACAATTTGGTACAGGAGTAGGGCTGAATGATAGAAGTTGCTGTAACTCCGACTAAGTCTAAGCAGGCTTAGATATGTTTCCCAGTGCCGTCTTGAGATTAGGGACCTTACTGTGTATATGGTCCCTTCCATGATGCATTCTGGATTTGTGTTTGTTGAGCCCAGTCTTAAGAACCTGAAATAATACTCTTGGTCCCTGTATAACTTATGGCAAATTAACTTACCTGCATAGTGGGGGGGGGGGGGATTGAATAAATTGTACAACTGTATGCAGACAAAATTTACTATTTATAATATTAATCCATTAGTCTATATTTTTGCCTTTCGTGCAGCAAGTATTAAGAAGTCTGTGTGGATTTTATTCATGGGAACAAAAGGGCCACAACTGTGACTTTTTTTTTTGCATTTCATATGCAACATTTAATTCTCACAGCAGTACAGCCAATGCCAGACAAAGGTTGATTGAGAATTGTAATGCAGGGTATCTAAACTATGTTGCACTTTAGTTTCTATTTTTATACATCCTCTGAGATTAAATTGGATTTCCCTTCTGGTGCAGTTTTTCTTATATGAAGATACAAATTTTGACACTGTTGTGCTACTTTAGTATTAAAAAACACCCTAACCCTTTACATTTTATACGTGTACATTTAACTACGAGCAGTATTCAAAATCAAATATAGATGAGTTAGAAATATTATTTTTACAAGTATTGTTATTTATTTATATTGCTCCACCATTAGGCATGCTAAATCATTTAACTGGGGTTAATACAAAACTCTCAGAGAAGGATACAGGAGATTGGGGAAAACAGTTGGAGACCCCTTGACAGTTTCACAGTTTCATGGAGCATCTCTTGAAAATGTAACACTATATATAAAAATAAAATGTTATATTCTAATATATATGCTCAAAAGAGTAGGGAAATCCTCTCAATTCTGTTAAAAAACAAACTGACCAAAAAAAAAAAACCTCTTTAGAAGGAGGTCAACATAGGAAGCTGCTGGGTGCTTTCCACAATCATCTTGGGAGTGGACAATGTTATTCTGCAAAACCCAGCCAAAACAGTGGAAAATGTATATCCAACAATCACATTGTATTAAAACAGACAGTTATACTTTACATCCTATGTCAGGCATTGGCAACCTTTGGCACTCCATATGTTTTGGACTACACCTCCCATGATGCCTTGTCAGCATTATGGGTGTAAGAGCATTATGGGGGATGTAGTCCACAACATCTGGAGTGCCGAAGGACCTGTGTTTCTTACTCTTGCGAGGACTTTGTCAGGGACTATTGTTACCATAAATTAAAATCATAGTAAACCGCAGTTGTTAGTGAAGTGGAGGAATGTCACATAGGCCGGGGCTGATGGGAGCACAGGGGGTGGCAAGGAGAGGGAATCTGCCTCCGTTGATTATGTGGCACCATGCACCAAATTCACATTGGCCATCCCGGAACCCTTTTTCATGGCTGGCCAATGATACCCAGTGGTGCTGGAGGTGGAGTTACACCTCCAGCAGCAGATGGGTAAATCTCTGTATGTGCAGCGTTCTAGTGAAACGCTGAACCATTCAGACTCCAGGCAAAATGACGACTTCTAATCACTAAAGTGGTTATCGTGCTTGGGGTGACCTTTGATCAAAACCTTAATCATTGGCAGAGCATTAAATATTTATTTAACTTGTAGCTTTTATGCTTATTAAGAATCATTCTATATTACTAGTAACATTCTAACCTGATTATTATACATTTTATTGTTTGGTTCACCACAGTTACATGTTTAGAGAATGAAGCCCACTATCTTTAGTATCAAGTCTCCAATTTCTCAGTATGCTTTTACAAAGCAATTGCAAATTGTAACCATAATTTAAAACCTGCATGGAATTAGGTTACTTCAATTTCATTTGATTTATTTACTCCATATATTTTATGTTTGATAACCCTTGGGCTGCTTCCTTTGTTGAATAATGTTTTTATATAAATTGACAGAGCTGGCAGAGTTCTAAGCAGAGCGCTTTGAATTATTAATTTTTTCCATGAAATGGCTCACAGGCTTTGTATATAATAACCACCAAAATGTTACTTGTTGCTGCAAAAGGAAGCCATTTTGTAGAGGGCTGAAATGGGGATATTTCTATGTTTTTTTTTTTTTTTATTTTTTTTTTTTACATATGCATGAGTCAGGATACTTAATCATCTTTTTTTTTATTAAATACATCAATGTCCAGAGCTGGAAAAGACCTACTGCGCATACAAAGTTAGTACCCAAAATATTTTAAATCTATACCCATAAATAAATAAATTTAAAAAAAAAATACTAACACTTTTTTTTTCCTTTCTTTACTCCTTTAATGACCAATAATTTGTATTATTATAGCATCCACATAGCTCCTATTGCTACTTTGAACTGTTCACTTATTTAGCAAAAGCTGACTTCTATAGAGCAGTACAACAATTCTAGGGCAGCAGTGTGCTATGTAATTATTTCTCCCTTCCATTCGACTTAAACATTGCAAGGTATGAAATCTAAATAGATGTGGATATGTGGAGGAGTGGGCATGCCTGTGATGTTACAGTGAGCCTGACTGAAATGTAGTGTGGCAAAGCAGTCAGAGCTGCACATGAACAGTGCTGCTTAAAGGACCACTATAGTGCCAGGAAAACATACTCTTTTCCTGGCACTATAGTGCCCTGAGGGTGCCCCCACCCTCAGGGTCCCACTCCCGCCGGGCTCTGGAGGGAGAAAAACTTACCTTTTTCCAGTGCTGGGCGGGGAGCTCTCCTCCTCCGTTCCTCCTCCTGGGCTGAATGCGCACGCGCGGCAAGAGCAGCGCGCGCATTCAGCCGGTCACATAGGAAAGCATTCATAATGCTTTCCTATGGACGCTGGTGTGCTCTCACTGTGAAAATCACAGTGAGAAGCACGCAAGCGCCTCTAGTGGCTGTCAATGAGACAGCCACTAGAGGAATAGGGGGAAGGCTTAACCCATTCATAAACATAGCAGTTTCTCTGAAACTGCTATGTTTATGAAAAAATGGGTTAACCCTAGCTGGACCAGGCACCCAGACCACTTCATTAAGCTGAAGTGGTCTGGGTGCCTAGAGTGGTCCTTTAACCAATCTTGCATGGGCTTATTGTCCTCCTGCAGAGCTATGAATGCATTTATAACCTGAAAACTTTTCTATGTTGTCTCACGAGCAAGACCTATTTAGACCTTTCTCCCCCTTATTAGTCAAATCTTTGAAATATAATCTATGCTGACAAGGGAGAGCAGAAAACCCCTCCCACAGATGGCGCTTTTGCTTTCCCAAAAATAGCAATTACAGTGCATGCACTGTGGTTGTTATGGAAACTCCATAGCTTATGCAGCTATATAGGCTATAGGAATGGAGAAACTTGCATCACTACTTTTAGATGTGAGCATGCTCACAACGAAGTCAGCATGTCCGCATCAATCAGGAGGTTTCATCTGCCTGAGGAAGCATTCCCAAGCAGGGCAAATGAAAGAAGACCAGAAAAATGGAGGATGGACTGGAGGTGGTTGTTACATGAAAAGTAACAACCACCAACCTCGAAAGATGGTGGTGCTGGGAAAAAAAAGGTGAGGTTAGTATATCTCGATATTTTACATTTCATACACAATGTTTTTTTGTGATATGTTATATATTTAATGTATATGGGGTAATTTAAGATCCGTCTTCTTTATCCTTTTCCCTTCCTCGCTGTCATGATCAATTTAATTTATTCCCGCTACACCTGTTTTCTGTTGACAGCATTAATTCTGTTTTTAGTGGGTGTCACACTTACTGTAAGACACAACTTTCTTGAATACCCCTGTTTGGAAAGCACAGTATTGCTTACCATAACGGGTTAAAAGTCCCTAACACTTTGTTGGCTTTATCGCATAAATGAAACGTATTCTCTCCCATTGCTGTAGCCTCTGACAGGCCTCTTCCCTTTGCAGGCATTGCATTTTCTAAACCTGATTTCAAGCAGGAGGGTTTCCCTGATGAGACTTGCAGAGCACAGCTTTCATATGTCTCTGCTGATTGGCACAAACTGGATTGACTGACAGGAAAAGGCGCTTTTTATTTAATCTTTTGATTTTTGAGAAATCTATACATTTGCTAGCCATTCTGCTAGCACAATCTATAGATGCATTTTGATTCTTTGTCATTTAAGATTAAATTTGTATTTGCGGTGACATATAGTCTTTAATCCAGTGGGTGCGAGAGGTCTGTGTTCCTAATCCATCAAATCCATAAAAGTGTTACAAACCTTGTTATATATGTAACATGTGCATTATAAAGTGTAATAGATTTGACACTAATGATTTGGCAACAAGATGGTCTAAGACTGAGGACTAAATGTTGAGTGCCAGAAGTCTCTAACAGAGTTATTTTAATAAAGTGAAAACGGTCAGAATTCCAAGTTACTTCAATGTAAAATCTGTCATCTATGCTTCCTGCTTGGCTATTTTTTTCTAAAATGGAACATTTTAAAATCCCTTTGCATTCTCATCAATTATTACTTTAGCATATAACTATGTAAGTGTTTGAGAGAGTAATGTAGCTATTAACCTTCCAGATAGCAGAAGCTTGCCTCTAGGGGTCATTTCATCAAGAATTAAACAACCTCATAAGCTTATATCTGATTTTCTGATGGTGTCTTTTTATTAAATGACACACTGAAAAACCAAAGCAGAATTGGTGGGAACAGTTCCTACATTGGGCAACCACACACAAGGGGTTGGGAGCAGATGTAAATTATTACCGTAGATACAGGACAGCAGCATTTATTTCCCCCCTTCTAGACATTGTCATGTTGTGCTAACATAGGCACACAGTGCAAATTCTGTTGATACTTTCAGTGGTAATACGAAAGAAATTACCGTATATACTCGAGTATAAGTCGAGTTTTTCAGCACATTTTTTGTGCTGAAAAACCCCCACTCGACTTATACTCAAGTCACTGTCTGTATTATGGCAATTTACATTGCCATAATACAAACAAGGACCGCCGGGCTCTTTACAAGCCCGGCAGTCCTGCTGGGGGCTAGCAGAGATCTGTAACTTACCTTTCCTGCACCTCCTGTCAGCTCCCTTCTCCTCCGTTCCGGTCAGCACCTACTGCAAGTCTTGCGAGAGCCGCGGGGTCAGTGCGTTGCCACGGGAGGAGAAGGGAGCTGACAGGAGCTGCTGGAAAGGTAAGTTACAGCTCTCTGCCAGCCCCCCTCCTACACAACCCATCCACTGGACCACCAAGGAATGAGAGCCCCCCTCCCTGACCAGCTAACAAGCAGTGAGGGGGGATGAAAAAAATAAATAAAATTAATATATATATAAAAAAAAAAAAAAATTAATAATATAAATAAATAACAAAAAAAAATGCCCACCCCCCACCAAGGCTCTGCATCACACACACACACACACACACACACACACACCATTCCTATACATACTCATATACACTCTGCATTCATACAAACACACACTGTAAATAAATATTCAATTAATATAAATTTGGGGATCTAATTTTATTTAGAAATTTACCAGTAGCTGCTGCATTTCCCACCGTAGTCCTATACTCGAGTCAATAAGTTTTTTCCCAGTTTTTTGGGGTAGAATTAGGGGTCTCGACTTATATTCGGGTCGACTTATACTCTAGTATATACGGTGTGTTCATTTAAAGGGACTATATAGGGTCAGGAATAAAAACCTATATTCCTAACCCTATAGTGTTAAAACCACCATTTAGGTGGCTTGCCCCCTAAAATGTAATAAAACTTACCTTATTTCCAGCGCCACGTGGGTCTGCCGGTGCTGGCCCTGCTTCAGATCCGCTACCTTGTTGACCTCATCAGAATTTGTTTTCAGCCAGTCCAGTGAAAATAGTCAAGGAGGCGGGAATCAATGCATCGCTATGAGGAAAGTTCAGCGTCTTCATGGACAGTGTGCAGCACCTGCAGAGGCTAACTAAGAAATGGCCACTGGGGGTGTCCCTAGGGGGCAATGTAAACACTGGCTTTTCTCTGAATGAAAATCCCTGCAGGGAATGATTACTCACCATAACAACTACATTAACAGATGAGTGTAAACAAACCACTAGTTGGCTGATAATGCCTACAGAAAGGTTAGTTCATCTTAAGCTTTAAAGCTAAACTGCTTCTCAATTAATATGTGGCCAACCTAGATGTCTTGTGTAGTTGAACAGTAGCTAGAGATAATGAAGACTATTTCTTATTTTCAAGTTCATGGAGACGTCTTCCTTTAGGAAAGCATGCTTTAAATAGAATGCCCAGCAATAGCAGTCTAACATTAATCTGGAAGGTATGAAATTGGCATTGGTGGGAGTTGAGACAGGGCAAAGTTGAAGTAGAGGTCATGTTAATAATTCCATATGTAACACTGGAGACCCTCAACAGCAGGAAACTGGCAGACAAACCTGGCATGCGACAAAGTTAACAGGCCGCTCTGCAAGCCTGCCGCACGGATTTCTATGTCCAGAGTGTTGCCAGCATCTTTTGTGTGCACTTTCTGCACATATTATTGCCAAATGAATAAAGAATTACATGGAACGGTAGAAGATAGGGAAATCATTACATATATAAAATAAAACATAGTTAATTACCTCTGTATTTAAATTGTATGCTTTTAAATTTGCAGTTACAGTGGAACACAGGAAGTGTCAAAATGTCTGTATATCCCATTAACACCTGCTTAAATGTTATGCACACAGATGGAAAGCTATTTAGTAAGTTATGTAGGGCTTGTATAGTCTTATAAGAATTAGTTTGAGTAAGAGGAAACGGGAGCTTGTGGTTCAAAAAATTTTTTAAAAAATTCTTTTCAAGGGTCTGGAGCTGTTGGACCAGAATGAAGGAAGGTGGACAACCGTCTTCTTGCTCCTTATATGTTGTAGTGTCTGTGGTTCTTAGATTGCCTCTTAAAAACTCTCCATACTGGATTTCATACTACCATATTGGTTTAACTCTGGGCTTGACAAATTTTGTCTCGTACTAGGAGTTAAAAAGGCTTCTGACCATTAGCCATGATTCCCTGATGCAACTTTCATGATAAACCTCACTGACCTTTGTATCCTGTTCAGCACCCGCAATGACACCCTTATCACATTTGGCAACAATTACATCACATACTGTTTATATGTAACTGATCCCACCAATGTCTTTGGAATTATCATATTGTACTGGATTTTCTCCCCATACACCTTGTCTAGATAGGCAAAATGTATTGTCAATCACCAGCTAGCACCCACACTGGTTAGTGAATAACTGTACTGTATTTTTAACCATGTGTCATTCTTCACCTTCGTGTGAAGTTATCACTGAACACAGAGCATAATGAGATGTGATAATGTCTGGCTTCCAGCTTGTTCTAATCTAATGCAGCCTGCTGTGTCATGCTTACAGAATGGAATTGGGAATTAAGGAATCCTTTCTCTGAAATCTAGGGAATTATTTTAAAAAAATGTTTTAGTTGCTAAAATAATTCTTTCTATAATTTTATTGCTCTCATTTTTGATCAGGTGCTTCCCCCTTTCAGTTTTAAAATCCAGTGGCAGCCAGTGAAATCCCAAAGCTACAAAGTCACATTGACTGCAGCTCAGCCAGTATGTACTTGATCCCAATGGCTCCAGGTCTTCTCTACCTAGACACGAGTAAAAGGAATTGGCAAATATAAGAATCCAATGTTGAGAATCAGTTTTTTGTTTTTTTTCTCTCTACATTTTTCCTAATTAATTTACCATAAAACATTTTGATATGTGATTTATTTTGCAATATTTGCTCTATTCTGCATTGGTGCTGTTACTTGGCACTTTCAGATTGTCATCAATAAGATGTTTTGGTCATTTAAAAACAAAAAAAATTGTTGTAGACCATTATAATTTACCTGTGCATGTTTTTCTGCATTACACAATCTTCTTTGTATCAAATGATGCTGAAACTATGTTTAATCTTATACATAAAAATATACCTCTTTTAATATGTACCTTAAAACCATACAGCTGGCATTATGAAATCAGGAAAGGCGTAGTGTGTCAAAAAAATAGTGTTGGGCAGTCTCCAAGCCTTCCAAATAGGGCTACTTCTCTGCACAGCACAAATCTCTATCCCTCTCAAAATATTTTGTGATGGATAGGCCCAATTTGGGACACAAATCACAATATCCTGTATTTTTACTCTTGTGTCTTGCTTCTGAGATACTGGATGAGCCATGTGTTTTTTCAAACCTCTTAAACTGACAAAAAAAACCTCCAGTTTTGCAAAAATAACTCCCCTTTTAATGTATACTATACACTGTAGTAGTTATGGTGCTGAGAATTTTCATTTGCATCTTTTTCCCCCCTTTGTTTTATTTAAGCATAACAAAACATTATACAATAAAAGAAACAATAAAAATAGCCATCTGTTTTATACTTAATTTTATTAGCTGAACTTGTCCCTTTAAAAAAAATACATGACCATGATTCTTCAATTCTGGGCATATACACAAAATTGAATCTCAATGCTATTTCAGTGGTTAGCCATTTTTGACAGCTGCCTAAATGTCATTTGTCCACAAAAACTTGTTTACTGCTGTAGTTTCCAACCAGTGTGCCGTATCATGCTGGGGTGCCCATGCCACCTCTAATTCTGTGATTTCAAGGCTGTTATAGGTTAAATATATTTCATCGTATCAATTAAAGGGATGCTTTAAACAAAAAAATAATTTAGCTTAGTGAAGTGGTTTAGGTATGTATGTAATCTATGCCCCTGCAGTCTAGCTGCTCAATTCTCTGCCATTTCAGAGTTATACCGCTTTGTTTATGCTGGCCTAGTCACACCTCCCTTAGCTCAGGCTTTTTCACATAAACTAGAGGCTGTCATTAGTTTTATAGGTTTTTGGTCATAGAACACAATTTTAATTCCTATAGTGTTCTGATATACCGGAAGTGCCAATCTCCCAATCAAGGTACAGTTTGATTAAAATAATGTCATTGTGCTATTTTTATATATAAAAGATCACTGTCCTTTTAACATATCTCAGAATCTTTAAGGCCACACAAAATTTCCCAGCACGTAACTATGTCTGCCTGCATTTTGCTCATGTTTTGGAATTTCCAAAGCCTGCTGACACACAAATAGATATACCTCAGAATTGCTCATCAGACCAGTAATTGTTTCCTTCAAATACATAGACTTAAACATACAAGAATTACACTTGGTATATTTCTGTTAAAAAAATAAATATCCAGTTGCAAATTTGATATATTGAGGGATTTATTTATTTTTGGAATAGATATTTATGATCTCACTTTACTTTAATTAAAGTTGACTATAGCAAATTAAGTAGTATGCCCACACCAGCTTAATGTGCATAAAATTAGTGGCCTTTTGCTCCCTGCAAGTGGTGGTGGGGCTTCAAGGGTTTCAAGACGAACAAAATACTAACGCTTGAAAAGAATAATAAAGAAATAAGTCTGCAATATGTTACACAAATTATGCAATATGTTACCCTACACGAATTAGGGTTGTGCTTAGCGAGTAAATGTAGTAGTCGGCTGCCCAGGGCAAGAAGGATAGCATAACAACTATTCATGTTGTGGTTTATTTTATTTATTTTTTTTATTTTTTTTTCTCTCCTTCCCGTCTGTTTTTGTTTTTTTTGGTTTATTTTTTTTCCCCTCTGTTATTAAGATTGATGTAAATAAATGCAACAGTTTTTTTTGGTTTGGACATTTGCTACTAGCTTGGTCTCGCATCGAGTGGGTCGTTTTACTCACGCCCCCTGGCCGTTACAGGAAATGTGGGTATCCCTGAACAGGCCATTACTTTATCCTTTTCAATAAGGGTGTATATGTACTTTATGTTTTTTTTTTTTTTGGTGGTTTTTCTTGGTTGTGGTTTTTTATTTTTTATTTTTTACTACTTTGTGTTTTTTTTTTTATTATTTGAAGTCAGAGAGTATTGCTGGTTATTCTAGTTTTCTTTCTCTCAAGCGGAAGCACCGCATAAATATTAGGAATGCACAGGTAATTAATAGTGACTTAGGCCCAAATATGGTAAAAGTTTTAAGTTTTTTTTAGATGCAACTGAAAAATAAAAACACATAAAAAGTATCTATGGATACAAGATTTAGAATATTTTAACATGAATGTTAATGGATTAAATAGTCCACATAAGAGACGGTTGGTGCATCAGGAATTGAGGAAATCTAAGCCAGCTGTAATATGTTTACAGGAAACACACTTCAGATCTCAAGAGGCCTTTAGATTAAAAATAAGACCATACCCACAGGAATTCCATGCATATTCAGCTAATAAAACTAAAGGAGTAGCAACTTTAGTACATGCAGTTTGGGGTTTTCAAGTTAATATACAATATACAGATGAGGCGGGACGGTTATTAACATTAATGGGTTCCTTGAACGGGATTGAAATTACATTTTAATAAAATTTTGAAATTGCGTGTGGGTCATTTGATAGTATGTTGCGATTATAACACAACTCTAGATCCAACACTGGATATTTCTAGAACAGAAGAAAAAAGCCCTCATCCCTTGGCCGTTAGTAATAGTGAGAAACTAAGGAAATTGATAAAAATTACGATCTATATGACACCTGGCGATGTCTCTATCCATTGGGTAAAGATTATACGTTTTATTCTTCTGCACATATGCCATACTCAAGGTTAGATATGTGCATAGTAGATAAACCTACTTTGAACAATATACTAGAAGTGCATATTGGCCTTAGAACTTGGTCTGACCAAGTTACATTTCAAGCTAAATACCCGGGACGTGGAATGGGGTAGTGGAGAATGAACGAGGCAGTGTTGGACGATGATAAAATATTTTTTAGAAGCTAAAGAGGCACTCATTAAATATTTTCAGAAAAATGACAAGGATGATATAGCAGCCTCCTCGTTATGGTTGGCACAAAAGGCTGTAATGAGGGGCTTTTTTATAAAATCAGGGGCTAGCAGTAAAAAGAAAATGGATGCTGAACGTTTATGATTACTTCAGGTACTATCTAAATTGGAAGATAATAAACTTAAACCAAATAGATTGCATGGTAGTCAAAAAGCTAAAGTAAGAAAGGAACTCTATGTATTGGCATTAGCAGAAACCGAAAAATATATGAGAGCATTAAAATTGAAATTTTATATTCACGGCAATAAAGCAGGAAAAATGTTAGCTAATATGCTAAAAACAAATTATCTTCAAAATAAATCCCCTATATGATCTCGATGAATAATTGTAAATTATTTAACCCAAAAGATATTGTAGCTGAGTTGCCAAGTTATTATAGGAAAATTTATAATTTAACGGAAGACTCAAATATATTACAGCCTTCTAGCTCTGAAATAGAGAATTTTTTGGAGGAAGTAGATCTTCCTAAAATTTCAGTGAGTCAACAACAGATGTTGGTGGAGCTATTTACAGAAGACGAAATAAGCAAAGCTTTATTGGCTCTTCCCAAACATAAAGCACCAGGGCCAGATGGTTTTTCTAACTATTATTATATCAAAATGGAACCAATCCTGACACCATTTCTTACGAAGCTTTTTAATAGCTTTAAAACACCAAGTGCGTTACCGCCGGAAATGTTAGAGGCATTTATAGTAACCCTTCCTAAGCCTGGTAAATCACCAACAGAATGCGCCAACCTCAGGCCCATATATAAAAATATATGCGAAAGTATTGGCATCTTGAATAAAACCGATCCTATTGGGGCTTATTTCAGAGGAGCAAGCTGGTTTTGTTTCAGGTAGACAAGTAGAGGATAATAAAAGACATTATATTAATCTTATAGAATGGGCAAACCCTAATAATCACCAAGGGATTTTGCTTGCTTTGGACGCTGAAAAGGCGTTTGATATTTTGAATTGGGGTTATATGGAGCATGTCCTCCAGAAATACAATTTCCCAAAATCCTTTGTGAACAATATTATGGCATTATACTCAAAACCATCAGCGACGGTTATGAATACTGGTTTTATATCCTTTAAATTTGAGATCTCAAATGGAACACGCCAGGGGTGCCCACTTTCCCCATTAATTTTTATAATAACCTTAGAGCCCTGGATTAGACACCTAAAACAACATGCTGGTATATGTGGGTTAAAAACCCCAATTGGGGAACAAAAATGAGCTCTTTTTACTTTTATTTGTATCAAAACCTAAAGAATCATTATTAATTCAAATTTTAATCGATACAGTGATACCAAATTTCCCTGAGTTCTATCTTTTACATATATACCAAGATTGGTGTCGAATAAAAAATAATGTAGTTATTATTCATATATTAATCGTTGCAAAAATAAGCATTGCTCAAAATTGGAAAAAAACAATCCCACCAAATATCTTGGAAGTGCAGGAAAGAGTAGACAAGCCGTATCAATATGAGAGAATACTAAATAAAATAGAAGGAAGAGAAGGTGGCCATGAAAAAGCATGGCAAGATTGGTTAGCATATAGGTGTAAGGTTATAGCAAAGGAGGAATAGACTAAAACAGATATGAGGTTAAAGCGAGTACATTATTGCATATTAATGAATAGCTGAAAGATTTAAGTAAAAAATTGTTAAAACAGGACGAATATGCTGGGCATTCCGCTTGTGAGTACGAACTAGTTGTCAATGTCAATTATTTTTACTTTGCACACTTGTATGAGTTGAATCTAAGGATTACAAATGAAATTAAGGCAATAGCAAAGAAAAGCAAAATTTTATTTATGTATTTTTATTTTATTTAATTTCATGTTACTGTGTTTTATTATTGTTTTATAATTTAGGTTGTTTTTTCTGTGCATGTAAGAAATGAGAATAAAAAAAATTAACATTTAAAAAAAAAAAAAGATATATTGAGGGATTGTGGAGACCTAATGAAATTAGTAAAGGAAATCTATTTTTTCCTGCTTGAGACTGTATTTCCTTTTGCAGAAACTTTTTTCAATTATTTCTTTTTGCAATTGCAACAGTGAACCTCAACTGCTAAACACACCCATGTTTTAATATGTATTTATTTTGTTACTGTTGGGTTTGGTTACAATTTACAAGGAAATTGATTCAAAATGTGAGACCAAAATACAGTGAGGGGAAAAAAGTATTTGATCCCCTGCTGATTTTGAACTTTTGACCACTGACAAAGAAATGATTAGTCTATAATTTTAATGGTTGTTGTATTTTAACTGTGAGATACAGAATTACAAAAAAAAAAAAAATAACAATTGAGAAAAATGCAATACAAAAAAAGTTATACATTGATTTTCATGCCAATGAGTGGCCTGTAGGACTGCACATTTGATTGGGCATTCGGAGCAGAAACGTAACATAATGTTACTTCAAAGTAGGTGGAATTAATTTTTTTATTTTTGCATTGTTCTGCACCACTAAAAGCCAATTAATGCTATAATATGACATGTTGAAAAAAATATTAAATATATAACCCAAGCGAGATTACAGGAAAAACTCTAAACAAACCATTTTTGGTTCTTGGAGCCTGTTCTCCTTTTGTGACTTTTGACTTTTTAGGAATCTGACACCGAAGTAATGAAAGAAAATGTTACTCTTGTTCGCCTTTGTTTTGGATATAAATTTATTACCTTCAAGTGAAGACTCTTCCGGAAGAACAGGAAGAAACTGGGTCAGTCTGGGGAGAATTGTTTCTCATAGGCAGCATATTCAACCAAGGCTTCTTGGTTGCATTTGCACTCTCTGGAAATTGAAACATCCTATGTATGACGGCTCCCATATTGACGCAATATAATAAAGGCGGGTGCTCTTACCCTTATTATATATTGCAAGGAGTTGGGTTGTGTTGCATAAGTTATTTTGAAAAAATTTTTTTAGACCTAATATTTTATTTTGATACTATTTTTTTTTTTATTTATTTTTTTTAAAGCACCTCAGTCATATCCGAATATTTCAAATGTAGCGCAGTTATTTAATAAAGTAAGAAATGCTTGAAATTATCAGTAAATGTCAAATTTTAGACCAAAATAAATGGACTGGAATCATAGCCAACGTGGTCAATATTTCCAATGCAGGTAATTTTGCCATAAATGTATAAATTACTCTGATATTCCTATTGACTGCATTGGAATTTAACATAGAAAGGGTTAAGAGAAGGGTCCTGTTTATAAAAGCATTAGCTGATACTTTGCTTTTGGCACACATTGACCCTGTTTTTTTAGGCCTAGGCATGTGATTTCAGGAAGAAGCCGGTCAGATCTTAGAAGTGCAGGTCAGCATTAAGCTGCAGCTCAGAGTTCACCTCTCTCTGTGTCAGCCCATTTTGTTCTCTCCACCCTCAAAACCCACTCCAGATTATGACAGTGTAACCTGAGACCAGCTCTGATTTATATTTAGTTACTTCTTTGTGTTGACATGCCAAAGACCTGACTCAGTAAAAATAAGCAACTCCCTTTTAGATGCTGTTTGTTTGTAATAAAACACGTCATCAAAATAGATTAGCATTCAGTATTTCTACTGGTAAAATGCTTCTCCCCACTTTGGAGCATTAAAGGTTTAATCCAACCAAAGTAAGTGTTTTAAGAAAATTCTGTTTTTGCTTAGATTAAACCTTCTGTTTAGATGCATCCCTCCTCCCCCTGTTCCAAGATGGCTAATGGCACTGTCCAAGGTGAACTGGCTTCTCTGGCAGCAGAGAGGTTAATCTTCATATGTGCAGCATTTCCTAAAACACTTTACAGGTACTCCTCACTTAGCGACAGAGTTCCGTTCTTACGACCCGGTCGTAGAACGAATTGGTTGGTAAGTGAGGAGTTAAGGTATTCCCTCTAGTGCGTTCGTCTATGTTCGGGGAAATTTCCCCAAACCTAGATGAATGCAGCAGAGCAGGGAATTTGTCTAATCTCACAACAGCTGACACTTACCAACCCGCGAGAGAGCTGGTTGTAAGTGCGAGCCATCGCAGAACAGGTAGGTCGCAAAATGAGGACCACCTATGCATGCAGACACCAGGCATAATGTATGTTGCCTTGCACTGAAGGGTTTGTGCTTTTATTTGGTGCACCAACTAAATGCCACTTTGCTAGCACACAATCTATTGTGCTTATGGATGGACTGATTATCGGTCTGGCCAATATTATTGGCCGATATTCGGTATTTTCAGCAATATCGGTATCTGCCTATAGAGAAACCGATATTGCCGAAAATACATACCAGGACAGCCAAGCCCTTGACAAGCCCTGCGGTCCTGGGGGGAAACTCGCAGCAAGCTCTTGCTTACCTTCCCATCAGCTCCCCTGTCTAAATCTTGCGAGTCCTGCGGCCTTCAGAGCGTTGCCACGGGTTACCATGGCAACACTCCGAGCGGCACACAGGAAGCTGCTGGGAAGGTAAGTAAGAGCTTGCTGGGCCCCCTCTGCACAGTCCATGCCACCGGACCACCAGGGAATGCCATATCCCCCCACCCTGGCCAAATAAGAAGCAGGGAGGGGGGACTAAAAAAAAAAATAGACATCCCTCCCCCCCCCAAATTACATACCTACAGAAACATACACACACTACACAAACACTCTGCATTCACTATACACACACCATACAAACACACTGCATCCACTACACAAACACACACAGCTCCCCTGTCTAAACACACTGCATCTACTACATGTGGCATGTATATTTTGTGCATTTACTTTTAGAAATAGTTTATTTTCAAAATGGTAAATGTACAGAATATCGGTAAGCTATAGGCCTGAAAGTTCAGATTATCGGTATCTGCTCTAAAAAAAAATCAATATCGGTCGATCGATTGCTCATTAAAAAGTGCTCCTGGCAGGAAACTGAGCATGGCAGTTCCCATAGGTGTGGGTGGGGCATCATCCTAATCATTAATGAAGTAGAACTCACCATTGCTGCACTCCTGATAAACCCCACTCCAAGTATCAGTCACCGTCTTTGCAAAATATTCAGAGAACCCAGAAGGTTACATAGATGCTTTAAACTGCTCAAAAATAGTTTAAACATGAACGGAGGGACAATGCATGGGAACTCTCTGCACTAAAACCATTTCATGCCATTAAATTGGTTACAGTGCCTTGAGTGTCCCTTTAATGTTAATCTACATGCTGTTAAATTGTATATCTTTATCTTAACGGAAATACTCGCATTATTTTGGAGGACGACAGCCATATTAAAGAGACACTATAGTCACCTAAACAACTACAGCTTATTGTATTCTGGTGAGGAGAATCATTCCCTTCAGGCGGTTTGCTTTTCAGAGAAAATGCAGTGTTTACATTACAGCCTAGTAATAACTCCACTGGCCACTCATTAGATGGCTGCTAAAGCTGCTTCCTTGGGCAGTGCTGCACATTGAGCAGCACTGCCTTACAGTGTCTCCACTCTTTGCATGGAGACACTGAACTTTCCTCATAGAGATGCATTGATTCAATTAATCTCTGAGGAGATGCTGACTGGCCAGGGCTGTGTTTGACTTGTGCTTGCTCTGCCCCTGATCTGCCTCCTTGACCGTCTATGCCAGTCCTATGAGAAAGCACTGTGATTGGCAGAGACCACTCCTTCTGATGATGTCAGCGAAATTTCCCCAAACCTAGATGAATGCAGCAGAGCAGGGAATTTGTCTAATCTCACAACAGCTGACACTTACCAACCCGCGAGAGAGCTGGTTGTAAGTGCGAGCCATCGCTGAACAGGTAGGTCGCAAAATGAGGACCACCTATGCATGCAGACACCAGGCATAATGTATGTTGCACTGTGATTGGCAGAGACCACTCCTTCTGATGATGATAGTTCAGGGGCAGATCCAGCAGCTGCATACTTAAATACAAGTAAGATTTTATTATATTTAGGGAGGCAAGGGAGGAAGGGGCAGGAGAGCTAGATGGTGATTGTAACACTATAGGGTCCGGAATACATGTTTGTGTTCCTGACCCTATAGTGCTCCTTTAACACTTTTTAGGTTCAAGGCGCCCTTAATATTTCAGTATTTTTACAAGGCACCCGAACTCAACATTTCTAGGTTGTATATATGTGCAGCGCTGCCGCATTTACTGGCGCTATAATGTAATGTACAGTGTTGGTGTTTGAAGGGGTGCTTGTATACATTTATTGTGTTTTAATACAATGATGTTTGTTTGTAATGTTTGATTGCAGGGGTGTGTCTGAATGTAATGTTCACTTTTAAATGTGGATGTACATTTGTGTGAAGTATTTGTGTTTGAGTGAAGGGGTATGTTTGTATGTATGTAATATTTGTGTTGGATTGCAGGAATGTGCTTGTATGTTGTGCTGGTGTTTGACTGCTTGGATACATACATACATGCATGCATACATACACACACACACACACAACACACAGATGTATATAACTATACCAACATATATACACACATGCGCCCTGACACACACAAATATTAATACATGCCCACACCATGACACACATACACTGACCTAAAAATACACACCCTGACACAGATGCACATACACAGATGTGTGCACGCGCACCCAGACACAGAAGCACACTGACATATATATACACACACACGTTACTTTTTTTTTTTTTGATATCTCCAGCCACCCTCCTGATAACTTACCTTATGTGCCAGGAGGGTGGCTTAGTGTCCTGCTGCTGTGAGCATGAGGGTTCTGGAGCTCTTCATGCTCCTCTCCCCTCACTCTCCGGCTTCCTCCTCTCCCTCGCGTGCTGTCTCCCTGCAGGATGCTGTCACTTCCTCCCAGCCAGCCGACATTACAGGGGGCAGGTCAAGGCCTTAAAGGACGCGCCACTTGACCGGATCCCTGTTGAGCAGTAATGTTTCCCCGGTGCTAAAATGATAGCCGCGGCACACCGTTTGGGGGCTGCTGGGTTATCTGGTTTTGTAGGAAATAATTGCTGTGTTTTAGGCTTAGAAATAAAGCTGTGTGTGTGTGTGTGTGTGTGTATTGTTTTTTTTAGTTTTTTTTTTACCTATTCTAGTACAAGGCTGGAGATGGCTGCAGTTTCAACAGTCTCTCTTTTTGTTCAAAGTTATTATTCTACAAAATATCTGTGTTGCAGTACAAAATCCCGTCTTGCTTTATTTCCGCTTATGGTTGGATCTAATAAAATGCCCACTAACCTGAAAATTCCTACGTCAGCAATGTGTCGTCTTGCCCCCCATGGGAGTTGGTAACTAGTCACAAAACCTTTCAGCCTTGGAGTTCGTGGAAAAGGAATACAGAGCACTCAAAATCTCACAGGTCTATCCTTGACGCATGCATACGTTACGCAACTGTTCTATACACAAAGGAAAATAAATGTAAAAATACAAAAAGACCATCTAAGATATTTAAACAACTTGTGATTTATTTATTTTTATGAGACTAGGAAAACACATTTTTATTTTACTTTTATAGACTCTAGCTCAAGCATGCAGATGAAAGAAATGAAAGGATAGTTGTTTTCATTGACCTTCAGTGATCCATAAATGCACTACTTGCTTATATTCTATTCATAGATAAAATAAATTGTCATTCTTGTAGCAGACGGGTATTCTAGATCGATATTTTTTTTTTTTTTTTTATGAACTATACATTGATGTGTGTTAGAAGGGATGCAGTCCCTGGGTTATTTATGAAGCACAGATTTGGTTTCCAAATTTTACCTGAAATTACAACTGTTATTCACTAAATGCAGGTCAAGGGTCACCGAATGTGCTCATTTAGTTCAGAGAAATTTGTCTGCATAAGAGTAAACCAAGACAATCAAGAAATGGCCAGAATGCCACAAAATGTGTGTTTTGGATATTTTTTTAAAGAGTGAATCTTTACCAAGGCTGGAGGTAAATTCTGAGGTTTTTGTGCATCTGAATGAATAAATGAAAGATGTGTGTATTGGGTGGGGTGGGTTAAGTCTCTTGATATTCTCACTTGTATTCCCCCACATAATAAGCAGCACCTGCACCACTTTGTGAGATCATGTGGATTTCACCCACCCACCCCCCTTTTTCCATTTGAAAATCTAAATAAAACAACCCTTTACCTGCCATTATTCCACCACTGAGACAGTGTCTGCACAGCAGCCCAATCCACCTCCTTTGTGGTCATCTAGCATGATGACTTCACATCCAGTGTCCAATCAAATGCATAGTAGGCAAAAATCACATGCATGGCAAGTGTCATTTTCCTCCAATCAAATGCTTTTTGTAGAGAAGCATTTAATCCAGTGTTTCTCTATAAGAAGTTTTGGAAGCAGCGACACCATTTTCAGCACTCCCAGAGATCACTGTTGTACAACGGAGGCACAATCACATCGGAGCTACCTGCATTATAGTAAGTGAACATTCAACGTTCTCATATATCAATTCCATCTAGTGACACCATAGTGTGTGTGTGTGTATATGTGTGTGTATATATAATCTCTCTCAAAATTCAAATAGGTTATGGTGGGGAAGAATTGTGATTTTTAAATCCTCTTCCACCTGAAGTCTAAGGATAGTTAATACAATGTTAAACAGCAAACACAGACTCAAAGGAATCCATGTTTAAAATAGAATGAGGTGAAAATGTGATCCTTTGTCAAACTAATTTGCATATGCCCACCCAGAATCCTTTGCAGTAGTAACATCACTGCTGATTTGTGATTTCTGTGGGAAAAGCAAGTCTTATGGCTTGACTGGTGTGCAGATTTTTAACATTGTATATACTGTATATATTTCTTAATACAATTCTAGAAATTGTAAGAATACTTTAAACATTTATCGGATGATTGCCATCCACTGTTTTGCGATTCGGACGTTATATTTATTTTATTTGCTTTTTTTCCGTTTAAAATTGATTGTCAAGCAATTTATTGTACCAGTAAACTTTCCGTGTTACATTTTACATGTTAACCAAAACCCCCTAAAAAGTGCAGTGATATTAAGAGCCATACCTAGAAAAGCAAAATAGTAACCCTGTATTTTTTGTTCTATGTCTCCACCAGCTTGTACACAAATTCATGCACTGCAAAAATAAAGAATTATATAAAAAAAAAAAAAAATTGATTTTCTATTTAACTTATTTCAGTATCCTAGCAAAATGACAGGTGTTTTTCCTGTCATGGGGTAATAATATTTCACTGTTACCCACTCATGCAGTGATGACATCAAGACCTAAATGGTCAAAACAATACTAGCTCAGAGGCTGTGTTGATCATTACAATCTTCATTCAGGCTCTTTCTTCTAACTAGATTTAAATAGTATATCTTATTCCTCAGGGATTAGCAAGTCGTCATGTTATTTATAGCTGATGTAGTTGTGTTTGCCTTTTGACTTTAATTTGCATAAGACGGTCTTAAATCTTTCTGTACTAGATAACTTAACAATTCTCTGGTCTTTAATAACATTTCAAAGTTTATTACAAATTTATATTTATCTCCCTATACTTGCATATCTACTGATGGATTTCGCATGACCATGTATATTCTACAAAAACTGTGCAGCTTTATTCCATGTCATAATGTTGTGTGACTTGCATTGCCTTCAATCGCTATCGTGGCATTACAGGCCTGTTTTAAACCCTTTGCACAGCAAAAATAAAGCCTTAAAAAAAATAAAATAACAATTGTATCTAAATGCACTATATGCACAGAGATTTCCATTTTGTTGGACTTTGGACAGTTGTGGTGGTTTGGGGGGTGGGAGGAGGGGGGAACATCTGATAAATGCAAATTCTTAAAGGGATACTTTACTCACTGCAACTACTACATCTTGCTGTTTTCTTAATATTTGTAAAAAAAAAAAAAAGAGATTTCAGAAGTGCTCCACCACTTACCATCAGTGGATTGGAGAGGCCACAGCAGATTAAGGTACAATAAATAAAGGGATACAATAAAAAGATCCATTTTAAAGTTTGGGAGTTTGCATTAAACTCCAAGGTTTTTGTAAGTGCCCTGAGCATCTAATAAACCTAGCATAATTGGCAGCGGAAAATCTTCTGTATCTTTTAGAAATTAATTTTATGGTTTGTTATGGAAGTTGAATTGATATTTATTTAGCGGTTATGTAGAATAGCTTCATGCAGTGGCTGCAACACAGTATAGGCAACCTAGGACATAACTGAAGTCCATTTAGTATATAAACCTCTCTGTTTACTGCTCATTTATTGATTCAGAGAGATGGCATGGAATAGTATCTGTCACATCTGCACATCTTTTCTGCATTGAAAACATTCTGTAAAATGTAACTGAGATGATTAACCCCTTAAGGACGGAGCCAAATGTACACGTTGTTAACAAAACAAAATGTAAACAAAACCTGGCATTTGCGCTACATGTCTGTCCAACCGTAATACACCTCTTTCATAGTAAATGCAGCCACCCTTATTATATATCATTTTATTCAGGGGAAACAGGGCTTTCATTTAATATCAAATATTTAGCTATGAAACATAATTTAATATGAAAAAAATGGGAGAAAATACAATTTTGTTTGATTAGTTCTACATGACATTTTAACGGTCAGTGTCATAATACTGTTTGCTTTTACTGCAATAAAATACACATATTTGTATTCAGTAAAGTCTCACGTGTAAGACAGTACCCCCTATGTACAGGTTTTATGGCGTTTTGGGAAGTTACAGGGTCAAATATAGCACGTTACATTTGAAATTGAAATTCGCCAGATTGGTTACGTTGCCTTTGAGACTGTATAGTAGCCCGGGAATGAAATTTACACCCATAATGGCATACCATTTGCAATAGTAGACAACCCAAGGTATTGCAAATGGGGTATGTCCAGTCTTTTTTAGTAGCCATTTGGTCACAAACACTGGCCAAAGTTAGCGTTAGTATTTGTTTGTGTGTGAAAAATGCAAAAAACGCCAATTTTGGCCAGTGTTTGTGACTAAGTGGCTACTAAAAAAGACTGGACATACCCTGTTTGCAATACCTTGGGTTGTCTACTATTGCAAATGGTATGCCATCATAGGGGTCATTTTCATTCTTGAGCTACCATAGGGTCTCAAAGGCAATGTAACCAATCTGGCGAATTTTAATGTGAAAAAAATGAAACGCAAGCCTTATATTTGACGCTGTAAGTTTTGAAAACACCATAAAACCTGTACATGAGGGGTACTGTTGTACTCGGGAGACTTCGCTGAACACAAATATTTGTGTTTCAAAACAGTAAAAAGTATCACAGCAATAATATTGTCCGTGTAATGCTGTTTGTGCGTGAAAAATGCAAAAAACGTCACTTTTACTGGCGATATCATCGTTGTAATACATTTTACTGTTTTGAAACACTAATATTTGTGTTCAGCGAAGTCTCCCGAGTAGAACAGTACCCCCCATGTACAGGTTTTATGGTGTCTCGGAAAGTTATAGGGTTAAATATAGTGCTAGCAAATTAAATTCCCTTTACTTTCCGCATGGGTTGTCAGGCAGGTCCTGCTAATTGTAATTAATTAAGATACCTAATTATGTAAAAATAATACATAAATATATATGTAGAATTAATATATGTATATATATACATGTGTGTATATATATGTATATATCTATATAATTTTTAAAAAATATTTTTATTTATATATAGGTATATATATATAGTGATATATACGTATATATTTATGTATATAGATATATTATTTTGTTCTACGTGTATTTTGATATATATATATATATATATTAATTTCACAAAACAGTTAGAACGAAATAACACACATCTATATATTTTTTAATTATTTATTAATTATTTTTTTAATTTTATTTTTTAACGTATTTACATTTTAATTTTTTTTATATTATATATAAATATATATATATAACAATAATTATATATATATTTAATCAGTATCAGTCTACGTGTAATTTGATATTAATATATATATATAATTATATATATATATTAATAGTAAAATACACCTAGACGGTGTACATGTGTGTATGTATATGTGTATATATATACTTAGATCATATATATATAATATATATATATATATATATATATATATGATCTAAGTATATATAATTTTTTTTTTTTACACCATTAACTTATTTTATTTTTATTTTCAGCCAGCAGGGGGACCACCTGTCATTACAGGCAGCCCCCCTGCCGGCAATACAGAAGCCAGCTATCCCCGGCCATGTGATTGTGGGGTCCTCGCTAGGACCCCACTCTCACACGGCCGGGGGGCTTCCTGGAGGACGGACGTGCCGCGGGGGGCTCCCTGGGAGTCCCCCCCACCGCGATCGCCGGCGTGGGACCGCCGACGACCGGGTAAGTACCGAAAGACCGGAGGGCGTTTAGAGCCGCCTATAATAGGGCGTAATAGTACGCCCTCCGGTCTGAAGGGGTTAATTACCAATCAGCATCTCTATGGAGAATGTTAAGCGCCTCCATTCAGAGCGCTGCACACTGTGGACTAAGACATTTTAGTGGTCATCCTGAGTGACCGCCACTAGAGGTGTTACTAGGCACTAACGTAAAAAAACTGCCTTTTCTCCAAAAAGACAGATTTAAATGGGAAAAGTCTACAGGGCTACAATAATAAGGTTATTTCTATTTTTCATCTTTTATTCTCATTTTATACCTGCATGTTCCCTTTTAACCTCCAGGAATATTTCTCCTAATGGCCCTTTCTATTAACAATAATACTAGGACCACTTTAAGCAAAATATGGGAAATACTTCCACTATTTCGTTCTCTCCTAATACTAAGCATGTATTATATAACGATTATGATAAGATCACTTCAATGGTAACCTTGTCACATCATATTAAATAAACGATACACTGTAACATCATGACACAAATCTGTGTATTTAGACTTCAGACTATTATTTATTTAATGATTCATATATTACATCAGACACAACTGTAATACAACCAGTATATTTACACACACGCATAAATTTCTATTCACTTACTTTTTTCTATTAATTTTCTTAAAGTGGTTTTTTAGCGATACCTATATTTATTGCACTATAGAAAACAGTTCCATATACTGTATTTCTATTTTATGTGGTTTATATCTTTTTCTATAAAGTACAACATCTGGTGGATACTTCATTTACTCTGCTCTTAGCAGATTTAAAGATGTACACACCATACATATTTGCAGCACCTTTCTCCTGAGTTGCTTGATCTACTTGATTTAATTTTAATATTGGTATTATCACACTTAATGTCAATTTTATTATAACCTCAATATTAGTGACATCATATTCAAAAGCCTTTTTGGTAAACCAGCTCATGGAACAATCACACCAATCTTAGGGTGTCATTTCTACTACTATATTTCTTTTAGACAGGTTTTTGGTGAACTCCTGTCTGTATCCAGTTTTGAGCATTATACCCTCATCCCTGTGTGTTGCAAGAGGCATACCAGACATATATTTATATAAACTCTTAACTACATCATTATTTGATTTTATTAATTATAATTCGAGGAACCTGCCTGACAACCCAGGCAGAGAGTCCAGAGAATTTAATTTGCAAGCCCTATATTTAACCCCGTAACTTTCCAAACACCATAAAACCTTTACATGGGGGGTATTGTTATACTTGGAAGACTTTGCCGAACACAAATATGAGTTTTTAAAAAGTAAAACTTCTCACAACGATGATATCCCTAGTAAAAGTGCAGTTTTTGGTTATTTGTGGCTAGGTTGCTACAACAAAAGATTGGACATACCCCATTTTGAATACCCTGGGTTTTTCTTTTTCAAGTGGTATGTCATGGTGGGGTTAATTTTCATTTCTGGGCTGCCATATAGTCTCAAAGTCAACAAAGCCAATCTGGCAAATAGCAATTTACAAAAAAAGAAATTGGCAAATCTTGTTTGACCCTGTAACTTTCCAAATCACCATCAAACCTGGACTTGTGGGTACTGTTGTACTCGTGAGACATTATCCTACACAAATATGAGTGTTTTAGAGGCGTAAAATGTATTATACTGATATCATCAATTAAATGGCAGTTTGTGTAAAAAATGCAAAAAAAACCCCCCAAATATAAAAGCAAATTTTGGCCAGGGTTTCTGACTAAGTGGCTACTAAAAAAAAGACTGGACATACCCAATTTTGAATACAATGGGTTGTCTACATTTACAAATGGTATGCCATGATGGGGTTAATTTTCATTCCTGTGCTGCCATCCGCAGGGTCGGCCTTAGGCCATTAGGCGCCCTGTGCGAAAAGTCTTCACGGTGCCTGTATACAGTCACACAGTTACAAGCAGACAGTCAGACACGCTCAGTTACAGAGAGTCACAGAGCTAAACACACAGTTAAAGGCAGACAGTCACACACACAGTCACACATACTCCACTGCAAGCAGACAGGCATGCAGACACTCACGCACGCTGATAGGCACACACACTCTGTAAAAGGCAGATAGTCACACCTACAGGCACACACACAATTGGAGTCACACAAAAACAGGCAGGCAGACACACACACACACACGCGCGCACACACACTTACCTTTTTCCATTATGGTTGGAAGGGGGAGTGGATGCAGTTGGTTGTTGGGGAAGCAGGGACTCCTTACCTCTTCCCGTGCAGCAGTTACCAGGGGCTTCGGGTATGTATTAGCCCTGCCTCGACTATTTAAAAAAAAAAAAAAGTGTTTTTTTTACTCTTTTTACAATTTTTTTTTTTTTTTTATATACCGCGATCTGCAGGAGGTGAAGACAGTGACAGTCATTAGATATTTCACAAAAACTTAAGCGTGATCGTCACACTATTAAGAGATTTGTGGCTGATTCAGAGCACAGACGGGTTTGTGCAGATAAAGGCACATTGAGGAAGATTTCTGCCAGATCCATGCATCGGATCAAGAGAGCAGCTGCTAAAATACCATTTACATAGCAGCAAACAGCTGCTGGTGCCTCTGGAGTCCCACAGACATTGAGGTGTAGAGTCCTCCAGAGTCTTGCAACTGTGCCTAAACCTTCTATTCGGCCACCACTAACCAATGCTCACAAGCAGAAACGGCTGCATTGGGCAGAAAAATACGTGAAGACTTATTTTCAATCAGTCCTGTTCACTGATGAGTGCCGTGCAACCCTGGATGGTCCAGATGGATGGAGTAGTGGATGATTGGTGGACGGCCACGCTGTTCCATCAAGGCTGCAACGTCAGCAAGGCGGTGGTGGAGTCATGTTTTGGGCTGGGATCATGGGAAGAGAGCTGGTCGGTCCCCGAAGGTGGAAAGATGACCTCTGCAAAGTATGTGGAGTTTCTTTTTTTTTTTTCTTTTTTTTTACTCAACAGATATAGCAAGTAAGAATCACCGTTTGGGCTTACGCAGAAGCCAGTTTGAATATAATTCTTGATATAGTCATGCAGTTCAAACATATACAATATGTGCCCATGCTTGATGAAACCATTAGGGCCTGCTGTTCGTTAAGGGTTTTTATATATGTAATATAATTCCCTAATGTTTCGGTTCGACAGGAGTAATCAATTGTGCATTAGTAATGTCGCTTGCGCAGAAGCAAACTTTGGTATAACATTTATTTGTACAATATGTTTCATTTGAATCTTGTGGTATTTTTCTTGACATCTTTAACGTCAGTTTCCCGTCGAGAGTTTTATATTTTCAGGCCTTTAGGTATATCAATAGGAGTCTTAGTCCAAGATCTGTATTATATTTCTAGGTCTCCCATTTCCTTCGTTACGTTGACCATGCCTGAAGAGGTTTATATACTAAATATATATTAAATCAGGAAAGGAATCTTCCCGTTAAGAGTCAGGAAGTGAGAGAAAGGAGATTAGAGAGACTGAGTAGATAGTACGAAGTAAAAGGAAGTAAGAGAGTGGGTGCAGCATCCGGGAAGCGGCGAGAGAAAGATTAGGGGAGCGAGAGCCGGGGGGACAGAGGGCACTTCCAGGACCCCTTATGCCATGTGTGATGATTTAATCCCCCGGTCGGAGGAGATCCCCGTTACTAGGTCACCTTTACTTCTCCTTTTCAGTCTTATCTGTCTTCCCTGGATCCCACTACACTATTATCCCATGGCTCCCAAAGTCTTAGAAATGTTTGTCGATCCCTTCACTCTTGCTGTCAGGTCGTCCATAATCCTACATTCGCGGATCCTGGACATCACTCCAGGAAACTGTGGTCCGTCTGGTGATAGCCACCCAGTTGCTGTTCGTCGCGCGCTTAGTTATTTTATGGATTAGTTTATGCTCTCTCCTGGTCCATCCGTTTATAGACCTATTTAGTAGGTATACCCACGGATCTCTAGCTAGGGGCCTGTTAAATATTTGTTTCAGTAGGTCTTCAGTTGCTTTCCAAAATCTAACAATTTTTGGGCATTCCCACCACATGTGAAGGTAAGTATGTGGAGTTTCTGACTGACCACTTTCTTCCCTGGAACAGAAGGAAGAACTATGCTCTCCGTAATAAAATCATCTTCATGCATGACTATGCACCATCTCATGCTGCAAAGAATACCTCTACATCAGTGGCTACTATGGGGATAAAAGGAGAGAAAGTCATGGTGTGGCCTCCCTCCTCCCCTGACCTCAATCCTATTGAGAACTGTTGGAGCATCCTCAAGCAAAAGATCTATGAGGATGGGAGGCAGTTTACATCCAAACAGCAGCTCTGGGAGGCTATTCTGACATCTTGCAAACAAATTCAAGCAGAAACTGTCCAAAAACTCACAAGTTCAATGGATGCAAGACTTGTGATGCTAGCAAATAAGGGGTCCTATGTTAAAATGTAACATAAAATGTTTAAAAAGTTTAAATGTTTTTATAAGTTTGATTGAAATAGCTTTTGATTTCAGTAAATGTGCTGCAAACACAACAAATGACAATTTTCAGTTTTTTACAACCTATAAAGTGTTTTGAAACTTACTGTGCGTAATAATTTGGAACAGTGCATTGTACGTTTTTTATGTTTTAAAAAAATAGTGTTATCATTAGGAGGTTTGTTCAATACAATTTGAATTGTAATCTTAATAGTTGAGAATTATGCTGACGGTTATTTGCATCAGTTATTTAGGTAAATGAGGAAAATATAATTTGCATAATAATTTGGAACAGAGTGTGTGTATGTATATGTGTAGAGATATATAGATATATATATATATATATAGTGTGTGTGTGTATGTCACTTTATTAATTACAATTTGCGGGACGTGCCTGACAACCCAGGCCAAAAGTATAGGGAATTTAATTTGCTAGCCCTATATTTAACCCTATAACTTTCCAAGACACCATAAAACCTGTACATGGGGGGTACTGTTTTACTCGGTAGACGTCGCTGAACACAAATATTTGTGTATTTTGTTTCAAAACTGTAAAATGTATTACAACGATGATATCGTCAGTGAAAGTAAAGTTTTTTGCATTTTTCACACACACACGGCACTTACACTGACGATATTATTGCTGTAATACTTTTTACTGTTTTGAAAGACAAATATTTGTGTTCAGCAAAGTCTCCCGAGTATAACAGTATCCCTGATGTACAGGTTTTATTGTGTTTTTAAAAGTAAGAGTCAAATATAAGGCTTGCGTTTCAGTTTTTTCACACTGAAATTCACCAGATTGGTTACGTTGCCTTTGAGACCGTATGGCAGCCCAGGAATAAGAATTACCCCCATGATTGCATGCCATTTGCAAAGTAGAAAACCCAAGGTATTGGGGTTTGTTCAGTCTTTTTTAGTAGCCACTTAGTCACAAACACTGGCCAAACTTGGCGTTCAAATGAGTTTTTTTGTGTTTTTCACACACAAACAAATATTAACGTTAACTTTGGCTAGTGTTTGTGACCAAGTAGCTACTAAAAAAGACTGGACATATACCCCATTTGCAATACCTTGGGTTGTCTACTATTGCAAATGGTATGCCATCATGGGGGTAATTCTCATTCCTCTGATACCATACAGTCTCAAAGGCAATGTAACAAATCTGGCGAATTTCAATGTAAAAAAAACTGAAAAATGTAACATGCTATATTTGACCCTGTAACTTCCCAAAACACCATAAAACCTGTACATAGGGGGTACTGTTTTACACGTGAGACATCGCTGAATGCAAATATGTGTATTTTATTGCAGTAAAAGCAAACAGTACTTTGACATTCCCAGTTAAAATGTCACGTAGAACTAAGAACATTTTTAAAAATCTTATTTTCTCCCATTTTTAAATATTTTATTCATATTAAACTATGTTCCATACCTAAATATTTGATGTTAAATGAAAGCCCTGTTTCCCCTGAATAAAATGATATATAATAAGGGTGGGTGCATTTACTATGAAAGAGGTGAATTACGGTTGGACAGACATATAGCGCAAATGCCAGGTTTTGTTTACGTTTTGTTTTGATCACAACGTGTACATTTGGCTCAGTCCTTAAGGGGTTAAATTGCTATGTGTGTCAAAAAAAGTCTCCAATTGTTTTTTTTGTTTTTTTTTAATTTGGCATAGATTGGTGGTAAAAAATGGTTGCATGAAGAGACAAAATACCCCAAGTTTAAAACCTTAGGTTGTCTTCTTTTAAAAAATATTTACATGTGAAGGGATATTCAGGGATTCCTGACAGATATCACTGTTACAATTTAACTTTGGTTAATTTTGAAAAAACAGTTTGGAAATGGCAAAGTGCTTCTTGTATCTGTATGGTATCTCAGAAAAACCATTTAATGTGGCTAAAAAACTGTGTATATAATATGTGTGGGTGCAGTAGATAAGTAAGAGGAAAATTACAGCTAAAAACAAACACCGCCAAAATGTAAAAACAGCCCTGGTCATTAACGGTAAGAAAATTTTTTTTTGAAAAACGGTCTGGTGATTAAAGGGTTAAACAAGAATAACTAAAATCAGATAAAACGAATAAGCTAAAACTAAACCTTATTCAGGAGCCCAGGCTGATTAGATACTTTGTCAAAACGTCTCTTTAAGAAAATCTACGGTGTGTGCGTGTGTGTGTGTTTGTTTAGCCTGTATTTCTCTTGTTTATCTTGTTCACAAAAAACCATAATCACGCATATGTATATTGTTTTCTCTCATGCTATGTGTAATTATTGAAACGTGTATTTCACTCCGCATAAAGAATGGGGAAAAAAAGATCTGGAAGGGGTGCTGCATGTAGACTTCGGGTGAGAGGTTAAGTAAGTTGGTGTAGAGTGGAAGAGGCTGACTAATATGGAGTGTTAAAGATGGAATAATGACAGAAGTATGAAATAAGAAAATTTAGCTGGCATAAAGTAAGTGTATTTTGTGTGAGTATGTATATGTTTATTAGTTGGGGAAACTGTTTGAGTAATCTGGGCTCTACAGAGTACTTAAAAAAACACGAATCAAAAACAATTAGGACAGAGGCAAATTAAGTGAGGAAAAAGTAAGCAAAAACAATGTTTTGGCACTTTAAGATCTGTTTTGGCTCCTGCAGAAAATTGAACGCCTGTGCTAAAGAACATACAGTAAATTACTTCCTTATTTGTCACACTGCTGAATTATCATCTGCATACAGGAATTAAATGTTATCGTGACATTCAAAGGATGTCAAAAGTCTCCTCCTGACTGTCACAAGACACCTTGGGAGTTTAGACAGTGTGTCGCACAGTGTAGTGGGATGCTCAGTTTATCAGTTCAATCGCCCCTCTACCATTCCCCCCCTTGTTTTTTGTTTTTTGTTTTGTTTTGTGTTTCATCACTTGCCTCCTAGTTAAGTAGTTTCTGGAACTCTGAGATGAATGGAAAGATCAAGTGATTGGCAGCTATAGTTCATTTAGCAGAGGCTTCCTCAAACTCCGGCCGTCCAGATGTTGCTGAACTACAATTCCCATGATTTTATGAATTAGGCTGAGAATCATGGGAGTTGTAGTTCAGCAACATCTGGAAGGCTGGAGTTTGGGGAAACTTTTAGCTAAGTGCTCAGGGTTAAAATGCAATAATCGACTAGAACCTAGATAATGGAGTGTTAACGTAGTAGAGTGGGAGTGGGTTAATGGACTATTTATGTTCATGAATATAGTTAATTTGAAAGCTATGTCATTGTGCTAATAAAAATGTTGCAATTTAATAACAATTATTTTATTAAGGTTCTAAGACCATATTTTTAGTTTGATCCTGACCAGTTTACCGTTTTCAATATGATCATTTTATTGTTTTTCTTTTTTCTCCACCAGTATGACTTGTGCTTGGTATTATTTTGCTAACTGCCCTAACCTGGCCATGATGTTACCATGACTCATATATGTACTTTACCATGCCACTAACTGAAATAAAAATAATAGAATTTATGACCGCTTTATGTAAATTCTTTGCACTTACTCCATGTATTCAGGTGGTTATATATATTTTTTGTGTTTTTTATGCAGCTACAAAATGAAGAGGAACCTGTAGAAAATCCCCAGGCAGGAGTAGATGCTCCTCCACCCTACAGCAGTATTGCTGGGGAGAATGCAGGTGAGTAAAAATTCTTGTCTTCAAATGTCTTTCTCAAAATGCAGGGATCTGCTACTTTCACAGCTACTTATGCAGAGACCAGCAAGCATGTTGATATTTTTTCCACTTCTCTACTTTCAATTGGAGTGCAGTGTGTGTTCAGATATGCACAACCGCTTTAGGAAGCAGTACAGATATGTTCAGCAGGGTATGCACTTGTGTACTGGGCTGTTTCTTATCGATGACAAAAATATGAATTAAACAATGCACCGTTGTTTGATAACAACACAATCAGAGAAATGAGAACAGGCCGTAAACTCGAGAGAACGTGTTGCAGGACACATGGTCCTGAGGATAAAGCCACTCTAACTAAACATCTAGACAAATATCATTTCAAGATAATCAGAATAAAAAAATCTTAATTTTATCACTCTAAATTGCACTCTCCCACAATAGACCCAGGTAACTGTTTCGCACAGTAGAAAGGCTCTGCAACCCAGCATGCATGCATATCCCCACCAACTTCTTCAGAGACAATCCGACCTTCTATCACAGCAGGCCAAACAGTTACACAACAGAACCACTACAATGGAATGCCAAATTGCCCCAGTTTATGGTCCACTTTTACAAATGTGGATTTAGATGGAAAAGAACCATGCAAAAGTTACACCCTACTACATGTGACTTAGACCCTGCTCCAACTCCGCTTATATCTGCATGCATTAAAACACTCACCCCAGCTCTCACAAAAACAGTGCAGTGTTCACTAAAAACTGGAGACTTCCCAGATCCTCTAAAAGAAGCTGTGGTAAAACCACTCCTAAAGAAACGTTTGTTAGACCCAGACAGCTAGGCTAATTACAGACCAATATCCAACTATCCATTTCTGGGGAAAATAATAACTCAACTGGAGACGCATCTATCAAGCTTGAGCATCTTTGATCCTTTCCAGTCAGGTTTCAGATGCCGCCATAGCACTAAAGCATTGCTAAATTATCTCCTTATGGCGAGAGACAAAGGTAATTACTCCATCCTAATCCTCTTGGATCTCTCAGCTGCAGTTGACACCATTGACCATTAGATTTTAATAGAGTGCTTGCAGCACATCCGTTGTCTAGGAGGCACAGTCCTTAACTGGTTTGAATTGTTCCTCACTGGTAGATCACAGAGAGTAACATCAGGATCAAGCTCATGAGCACCAACAGAACTGGTCTGCGGAGTTCCACAATGATCTATCTTGTCTCCCTTGCTCTTCGCAATTTACTTGCTACCACTGGGGGACATCATTAGGTAACATGGCCTAAGGTATCATTGTTACGCTGATGACACACAACTCTACTTCTCCTTTGCTCCAGATACCACAGACCCAACATGCCGCATCATCGGTTTCTTAGCAGACCTCCTAGAATGGATGAATGCTAGTTGTTAAAGTGAACTCTAAGAAAAAAAAGTTACCTGCGCTCTTTACACATCCCTATGTATTTTTAAACAAATTTAGGTTTTTAGTTACCTCCAATGGCCATGAGAGGGTAAGCCCACCTGCCACATCAAGGCAGACCTCTTAGGTGGGTCCTAACTCTAACCATTTACCTTGCTTCCTTGAGCTTCTGGCAAAAATATCTCTAATGAGACAGAAAGGGGTATTTTTTATATACATCCCTACATGCTTATTAACCCTTAATAGGGAACACATGGGATGGGCAGCAGCATTGCATGCTAGCTGTGTGATACAAAAGTGAATACAAATACAAAGAAACAAGTCCTGCGCTCAAACTCCCATTACTCATAGGCGGCAGCAATGACTATAGTACACCAGCTAAAATACATATAGTAAAAACCAAAGAAAAAAGTTACCTGCGCTCTTTTCACATCCCTATGTATTTTTAAACAAATGGAGGTTTTTAGTTACCTCCAATGGTTACCTCCGATGTGGAAAGCACGCAGGTAACTTTTTTCTTTGGTTTTTACTATATGTATTTTGGCTGATGTGTACTATGGTCGTTGCTGCCACCCAGGAGTAATGGGAGTTTGAGCACAGGACTAGTTTCTTTGTTAAATTGAACTCTGACAAAACAAAGTTACTCTTGGTGAGGGCACCCAGTCTAAAAAAATATCCCATGATCACCCAACTGGCTTGGAGCTTGGAGGCTCTGAACTCATCCGTTCATGAAAGGTACGAAACCTCGGAGTGCTGATTTACTCTGGACTATCATTTAAACAGCAGATTTCCTCTGTAATAAAATCTGCCTACTTTTATCTGAAAAACAAAGCCAGGATATAACACTTAATTCCACCGGATGATATGCCAATATTAATCCATGCATTTGTATCCTCTCGGCTAGATTACTGCAATGAACTTTACTTGAGCCTCCCAGAAAAAGAACTCCATTGCCATCAAATTGTACAAAATGCAGCAGCCAGACTACTGACCAACCAAACTCGCTCCTGCCTCATAACACCTGTTCTCCACTCCATGCATTGGCTTCCAATTAAATGGTGAACACATTTTAAAATTGGCCTGCTAACCTTCAAGGCCCACAGTACCTGAAAGTGCTCCTGACACCCTATATTCAATCTCGTTTACTTCGGTCAGCCAGCAAATCTATCCTGTCAGTGCCAAGACTAAAGACCGACTCAGGTTCCAGGGCATTCAGCCACGCTGCCCCTACCTTCCATAACTCTTTACTGTGCGCAATCAGAGAGGCACTGTCCAACTATAAAAAAACGAAAAAAAGCTAAAGGCCCACCTCTTCCATCAGGCATTCAGTCCACTCATCTGACCTTCAGAAACTCCCAACTCTTATGTCTTTGTTTTTATACTTGTAAAGTGCTTTGAGTCTCACAGGGAGAAAAGCGCTATAAAAATCGCAAATAATTATAAACCTTCATGTGCAAGTAGTTACCAGTGCAACAACAGCTTAAAGGACCACTATAGGCACCCAGACCACTTCAGCTCAATGAAGTGGTCTGGGTGCCAGGTCCCTCTAGGGTTAACCCTGCCTGCTGTAAACATAGCAGTTTCAGAGTCTGGGTTTTAGCTTAATCCAGCCTCTAGTGGCTGTCTCATTTCTAGAGGTGCTTCCGCGCTTCTCACTGTGATTTTCACATTGAGAAGACGCCAGCGTCCATAGAAAAGCATTAAGAATGCTTTCCTATGTACTGACTGCGCGCACGGCTCTTTCCGCACATGCAGCCGATGACGTCCAAAGGTGGAGGTGTAAGTGTTTAACCCCTTCCTCCAACGTCAGCCCGGCGGGAGGGGGGCCATGAGGGTGGGGGGGGACCTATTAATACTACAGTGCCAGGAAAACGAGTTTGTTTTCCTGGCACTATAGTGGTCCTTTAATGTAGTTGTTCTGGCATCTACTGCCTGTTTCTGCAGGTAAACACCTCATTTTCAGAGAAAAGGCAGTGTTTACATTGCTGACTAGCAACACCTCTAGTGGTAGTCACTCAGATACTAGAGGTGGTCAGCATGGAGATACTGAACACTCCTCAAAGCGATGCATTGATCCAATGCATCGCTATACAAGTTGATACTGATTGGCGCGGTGCTTTGCCGCACATAAGCAATTGCATCCTACTGATTTTCTGTATGAAAACATTGGATTGCCTTCTATCACTAAATTTGATCATTTCAGGCAAAGAGGCAGTGGGGGTGGGGCCAGCCAGGAGGAGATGTGTGCGGCACTGGAAAAAAGGTGAGTAACCTCTTTAATGGGGGCAGGGGTGCCTGGAACATTAATTGTTCTTTTAAACCTATAGTGTCAGGAGTACACATTTGTATTCCTGACACTATAGTGTTCCTTTAAGGTGAGTGAGACCTTTCATTTTATTTATTTTTGCTCTGTTGTGCTCTTTTGATTTCTGGGGAAAGATATGCATTCTGGAATCTCTGCAAATAAATGCTTTGACATTAAAGAGTTACTCCAACTTTTTTTTTTTTTTTTTTAAATGTATTTATTTTTTTTAAATCCTGTTGCCCAATACTAAAATGAGCTATAACTACACTCCCCCATCTTATATAAGTTATTGCAAGGTCCAATAAAAGCTTCTCCTGACAAATTAAGAACAGTGTAAAGCGGGAAGAGCTTGTCATGGGGTGACAGTAACCCTTCACAAAATGGATGTCTTTTGACTTTATGCTTTCTTGTATCATAGGTGCCTGCATATCTTGACAGTTTTTTTTTTGTTTGTTTGTTTTTTTAGGTAGAAATAATGTTTATTTCCTTCTTACATATGTTTTTATAAATTTGTTTTACTTTATTTGAGCTTTTAAATGGTAACATGCTTCGTTTTACTAGTCAAGATTTTCACATAATACTCATTTTTATACTCCTCTTTCACAAGCATTCTTCGATTACAAAGACGAGCCAGGTTTCCCAAAGCCTCCCTCATATAATGTTGCCACATCACTTCCCAGTTATGATGAAGCCGAGAGGACCAAAGCAGAAGCCACCATACCCCTTGTCCCTGGAAGAGTAAGTATTCAATTGTTGTGCTTTAAATTACTGATTGTGCTTTATACATGAGCAAGCCCAGTTGGATATACTGGCAACCCAATGAAGTGGTTACATTATAAATTCCCTTTGATATGCCTTGACATTACCGTCAGACATGGCTAACATAACCTTTCTACAGAATTGCAAAAAAACAACAACCCAGCAAACTTAAAATAGCAGGATTATGTTGAACATGTCATTTTCTTTTTGATGTGATTTGCCCTTACACAGCACAGAGAAAGATTGGATGCGTTTGATGATTTCTTTCCAGTGTCGTCGGAGGTATGAGAAGTGTTTTAGTTGATTCCTAGATTTAAAGTTGTTTTTAATAGATCTCACCTGTTGTAGGTACTGTAGATTAGATTGCCATTATATAAGAAGCAGTATGTAGTATGTAGATGGTGACTTTACTCTTTCTGGCTGGATATTGTTTCATTTGTACAAAATTTATCTTTGGCTACTAAGATTATCTAATTTATAAATTTTTATTTCCTCCTCTTGCTGCTTTTGCAATGTAAGGTGACGTTCATACGAACAAGGAATCTTTAATTCATGCATTTTTAATACTTTAGATGTATGCAAACCTTGTTTTGAAACATATCCTTGAGCTGTGATCTTCCACATCATTCAGAAAGTGTCTGAGATCTCTAAACCAGTTCTGGACCTTTCCTGACTTTCTGTGCAAGTGTTAGCATGTGTATGTGTGCATGATGTAGTATTCTTGGCCATTTTGTGTGCATGAGAATGAAACTCATGTGAAAATGCAGGATGGTGAATGCATATCGGTTGACTGTTTCTACATGAGTGTTTCCAATGTCCCTTTAATGTCCATTTGAGTAGTTTTTTTCTTGAATGTAGTTACGGATTCCTTTATTGGTGGAAGAAAGCTTTTGCATGGATTGTCATGAACTGGATACAATTTCACTTCTAGAATATAGAAAGCAGTTACTCCTTCCAAGCTGACATGGATCTGATGATGGACATATGAATAGTTAATATATTTTATTTCACTAGTACTGAAGATTACAAAGCTGATCAGCGATACAAATTTTGATTTTACACAAATATTCGTGGGCCAAGTTAGATAACATGGTATCCTCCTCTCAAGTGGTCACATATATAAGCTTGTCAATAACTCAAACTTCCATGTGCTTTCCTTTTTAACCTTTTTATGCATGGAGTATCCTATTTCTTTTGATATGCTATACAAAGTGTGGTTCTTCTGTAATATGTGTTTGTTCAATGCCAGGATGACGACTTTGTGGCGCGTGATGACTTTGATGATGCAGATCAACTAAGGATAGGAAATGATGGCATTTTCATGCTCACATTCTTCAGTAAGTAGAACAAATACATTTAGAAAATTAATGGAGAGATGTTATATTTGTGACTTAAGGGTTAGTATGAATTATAAAAAAACAAACAAAAAGATAACCTAAAAATCAAGTGTCTTTGTTTCCCCTATTGCTTGGTTGCAGCTGGAGCATAAGCCTTAAAGCGTGTGCTGCCGTGATAGAACTACGAATAAGAAGTCTCATCCCTGGCAGCACTGGGGGGAATAAGAAGCTTATTTTACATCAGTCTTTGTACGTTTAGAGAAAAGCCTTTTCTGTATCCCAGTTCATAAGAAAACAGTCTCAGAAATCCTTTGGTGTCGGACTGAAGTAGGAAAAAAAGTAAAATCTAAAACAAAAGTTAACTGTCGCCTTAAATGGTTACACCAACTAAAAAGAAATGTTTTTAATAAACCACTGTTTATGATTGTTGTAACCCTTGCTGGCACTTCCCCGCTTCTCACACCACCACCAAGAAAAGAATATTGATGTCAGTGAGGCAGGGCTGAGGGAGGACTTAGTATGGCAAGGAAGGGAGGACTGTTGTGGGCCTGTGTTCAGATGTATGACATTTCTTATGCAGATACTTAAAATTGGCCAGCCCTGAACTCTTTCTGGGCTGGCTCATACTGCTACCATAGAAAAACATCTCCTGCAGCAAAACAAATTATCGCTATATGTGCAGTACTTCGTAGAATGACAAAGCGCTTCTTTGCAAACACATCGTAGCTCGCATATCTATTCAACATCACAAAGTCCACAAAGGCACCTAGGACAGGACATACGTGTATTCATGTACTGGAGACCCCTTTCACCTTCTCCCTTGCTGTTCATTACCTCTTTTGGCAGTGAGGAGGTAGGTGCAGAGTCTGATGATCACCTTTGTATTAAGGATCCAGCCCAGGCAGAAAGGGGTTAATGCGCTGTTCAGCCCAGCTCCTTGTTGCAGGGCTGATGTAGGTATGCCAGAGAGCAGCACATTGGGATGACGTGAAGTTTCCTGCTCACTCTGCCTTTTTAAATATTTTACCGAGCTGACCCAGGCAGCGAGAGCTGGTGTGGGCACTGATATCCTAGTGTTTCCCTGCCTCTACTGTAGGAAGCAGGAATGAAGAGCCCTGTGAACTCTGAATCACAGCTTTATTCCTGCTTCCTAGGATTGCTAGGAAATGGAATAGAATACATGCATGTTTATTTGCTCTCATGTTTCATGTAATGTGGGTGACTTTTAGTTTTGTTTAGTGATAACCCAACCCACTGTATTAGTTAATATGCTGCACCTGAATTAGCTATCCGTGATGTACTGAAATAAGAGTTGGTTTTCTGTAATCTGCATTTGGAAATCTTCCTGATATATTTAAAAAAACAAAAATTACCATTGTGACAGTCTCATCCTCTGTTGTTTACAGTAAGCCATCGCAATGTTTAATACAAATATTGTTACATAATTGTGATTGGATGCAATTACAGGTTTATAGACACAATGGGCGGTTCTCATTGAAAGACAAGCCAGATAATGTATAGCTTGGTACCTACATTTTTATTGTTTGTTTGTTTTTTAGCTACTGTATCTCAGTTGTACATCTCCTTCGCATACATATGTGTTGCATATACTAGTAAAGCTAGAGTGCTAGAGACATGTAGTCTGGAATGCTCTTCCACAGAATGATTACCAATTTAGAAAGTACATTCAAATAAGAAATCCTATATCTGTACACTGTAAATGAAACTTTGGAGACCGTAAGAAAAGAGTATATTTAATGAGTGTTCACTCCATAATTATAGCTTAATAGACATCTAAAAAAACATTTACTTATTTTAGGGGTGACCAAAACTTTACATCCCTAACTGATAATATAACTGGAGATTGGGGATTCCGTTCTAAAATACTGGTAGTTGTGGTCTTTTATTTTGCCTCCCTTGAATTAAATAATTCATAAATACCTCTAATAAAAAGCAAAAAGACAAAGCTTTTGTGGAGGATTTAATGTGTCTTAGAAATGCCATCAGGGATGGATTTCCAATTAGGCAGAGTAGACACCTGCCTACTGAAGCATGTCATCTGAGGGCACCTTTTTTTCTGCACTTCTAACGTGCTTTTAGGGTGGTTAGGTGGGTGGGTTAGATAAGTACCACGTGTCCCCTACAGTCTATTCAGCCTCCTGTAATTGATAGCAAATCTGCAGTTACAGAAATAGAGGATGTAAAGCTCAGTGCTGTCACAGCTCCTCCAGTATCTGTGTGAGAGGCTTGACAGGAAGTGGAAGGGATGACTTCCTATCTGCTCACCAACAGCCTCTCACACAGGAAATACCCTGCAGGAGGAACAGGGACAGCACTGAGTGATGCACACTTTTTTTTTTTTTTTTCCTGATTCACAATGTAAAACGTTTCCTGCAGATCTACTATGAAAATAACTTTGCCAATAACCTTATAAATCCTTTTAATCCTTTCAACAGTAAACACCATGTGTAATCTCTGACATTAACCCCTATATAATCTTCACCCTAATCACTTCTAACATTATTTTTAATCCTGCATGCATCTAGGGGCAGAGCGTGCTTTAGAATGGTGTTCTCACAGGAACCGGACATATAAATCCGGCACTGAATGCCAATTTTATTTTAAGGCATCTTAATTTATTGGAGTTCATTGACTTGTTTCCCTCCAGTGTTGGCTCTTAGTACATTGCTGTGCCATTTTCCATCTCACTAGCTGCTCAGTTCATGCACCTGGCTCTTAAAGGAACGATTAATCCCAACTATTTAATGTAGCTTGAGTGAGCGTTTTTTTATTCTTATAATAAAATGCTTATGCACCCCATTTCTGATCTTTGCTTTACCACATGCTGCTTGTTTCCAGACATCCTCAAAACAGAGGGAGGGTGTGATGTGGGAATTGGGGGAGGGAAGGTTATATTATGTGTCTTGAAAATAGGATCTTTGAAAATTAATATTAATATTCATTCTTTTCTGTCTTTACAGTGGCATTCCTCTTTAACTGGATTGGATTTTTCCTCTCATTTTGTTTGACAACTTCAGCTGCTGGAAGATATGGAGCCATTTCTGGTTTTGGCCTCTCATTGATTAAGTGGATCCTAATTGTCAGAGTAAGTTAAATGGTTCCTATATTAGAAAATAAATATACAATGATTTTTGAATTTAAATACAGGTTTGTTCACAAGTTATCCTGCATTTTTGTGATAAGACCTGATGCAACATACAAGTATTTGTTGACAGAACAAGTTTAGATATACTGTTGTATATCATCATGATGATAATCTAAATATTTTGAGACCGTTACTAGAAATAAAAAAGACTGCATATATAAAATAATGAATAAATTAGTTTAAAAACAATCTGACACCGATAGAATCTGTGTATTAAGTAGCAACTTCCCAAGAGAAGTAAAAGACTACTTTGTCACCTCCCAGATCTCCAGTTGCAATCTTTGTGGGTCCTTTTACATACTGACACTTTAGGCATTTTAAATGACACTATCACTATTGAGTATTTTTTACATTTTTATTTATACATTTTTTTTTTTTTTTTAAAGATAAATTTTTCATGAACACTCACATTGAAGTAACTGAAATTTCATTAATATGCCAGTGCAATCAGAAATGACCAAAATACAACGTAGAGAGGTCTTTGTCCTAGGGACAATGTTGAGACAGAACTTCCACTGTCAACTTTGTCATTTTGAAGCAGGCATTGCTAGTGCTATCTCTTTTTTTTTTTTTTTTTCTCACATTAAAGTTCTATCAAGGATACTGCAAATAATGACACTGCCTCCAGGTGAATGAAGCACCACGAGGTGAAGACGGATCCTGGGAAGAAGATAGACACCCTCAAGAGATCTCTTCAGTTAAAGGACCACTCTAGGCACCCAGACCACTTCAGCTTAATGAAGTGGTCTGGGTGCCTGGTGCAGCTAGGGTTAACCCATTTTTTAATAAACATAGCAGTTTCAGAGAAACTGCTATGTTTATGAATGGGTTAAGCCTTCCCCTATTTCCTCTAGCAGCTGTCTCATTGACAGCCGCTAGAGGCGCTTGCATGCTTCTCACTGTGATTTTCACAGTGAGAGCACGCCAGCGTCCATAGGAAAGCATTATGAATGCTTTCCTATGTGACCGGCTGAATGCGCGCGCAGCTCTTGCCGCGCGTGCGCATTCAGCCGACAGGGAGGAGAAGAGGAGGATCGGAGGAGGAGAGCACCCCGCCCAGTGCTGGAAAAAGGTAAGTTTAACCCATTTTCCCCTTTCCAGAGCCCGGCGGGAGGGGCACCCTCAGGGCACTATAGTGCCAGGAAAACGTGTATGTTTTCCTGGCACTATAGTGGTCCTTTAAGAATATCTCCCTTTAGCTTTTCCCCCATGTAACCGCAGTATAAAGATGCTTGTCACCTTGGAGGGCAAAATATACAAAGACCTCGCAAGTGACTTCATCTGCTATGTTCGTTATCTTGGCTGGTATCTTTGTGCTAGCAGCATAAAGATATGCAATGTAGTTTACTTTAAGATACAAGAATAATGCTGCCTTCCAGAATGTAAATTCACATGCCACTAGAGGATGTTAATAAATTCGCCACAGCTAAGGTACTACGAGAAATCTTATTTGCAACAGGTGAATCTCACTGCTTTTAACTTGCAGCACTTTCTGTGGGCCTCCTGGCTGCATATGAAACTCATAGCTGTACAGGAAATCCGGGCCAATGCGTCATCTTGAGATGGCCTTAAAATCTGCAAGTAAGAAAAGATTTATCGTTTGGGAGTTCTGTATAAAGATGATCACATTTGTGCCAGTTTTGTACACATGAACCATTTTTTTAACGTATAAAACTGTTACTGTCTATGCATTGGGAGACAAAATAATCAGTCTTTCCTCCACTTTATGCAAAATTTTGTAAAAACACTTTTTCTTGTCGGACGCAATTAAGGACAATGGGAAATAGATTGCAACCGTTTCTTTCTGCTCCTGCCATGAATGAAATCAAGGTGCCAGATCTGGAAGGAGAGACAAAAATGTTAATCAAAGAGATATTGAAAAAGTATGAAAGAGTGCATGGTTTATGTACGAATACTAATACATTCCTTGGCTCACATTAGTTCATTCATAATTATTACAATTTATTTTTTTTCTTAAATAGTTTGTATTGAAAAGGTTTTCCTTTTTTTTTTTTTTCATGAAAGACAATACAATACAACAGTTACATACGAATGGTAGGAAACATTACTACCATTTGGAAAATATATCCGTGGAAATTTTCTTTATACATTTCACTTAACCAAAAACAAGACGATACATTTAACTTACACATCTACATATACAAGACAATGCAGCAAAGGAGAGAGGAGAAAATACATATCGAGTAAAAGTGTATATCTTATATTATCCATAAATGTATATTCTATATTCTATATTTTTTTATTTTGTTTTTTTTATTACTATATGCTTTTAAATGATCTAATTATTTTGTAACCTTGCTTATTATAGGAAGAATTAATTTTACTTTTTAATAGAAGTATTGGACCGAAATGGGGGGTGGGAGAAGTAGGACTGGTGGTGGATAAGTGCTTCTAACGTTCAGTATTTCCCCCACTGTCTTTTCTGCTAACTGACCAGATACTGGCAGCATTGGCCAAACTGCACCTCTAAAAAAACCCAGTTGGTTTACATCTGATGGCATCTTTAATATGGAATCTCAAGTTTTTGTATCATTCAAATTGTGACTCATTTCCTTGAGACGAGTTCCTAGTTTTTCAAGTAACCTGGAAATTACATGTCAACTTAATTTAGTGACGCTTTTATTTTATTTTTTTCCCTTTTGTAGTTTTCCACCTACTTCCCTGGATATTTCGATGGTCAATATTGGCTGTGGTGGGTGTTCCTGGTACTGGGTAAGTAGAAGTAAAAAAACTACACTATATTCATGTTGTTTGGCCTTACGTATAACAATTATTTACTAGTGTACAAATTCAATGTGGATATCAAATTTAAGGCCAGAATTTACTTTAATAAATTTCCAACTCAGCTGTTTTAACCTGGAATTTGAAATTCACTTGCAATTCTCACTTTAGTACATTTCCTGGTGGTCCTTTCATGAAACAGATCAACATGCAATGCAACCCAATAAGTATGTAATCATTTTAGCTCTTGAAAGCATTAAACAGTGTTCTATCTTGTGGGTCCCTTGTATGTTAATGAATGCCAGGAGTTCTTAAATACACTTAGTGTGGATTTTCAGCATGTGTCCAAGCAAGACCTTACTAAAATGAAATTGAACTATACAGTTGCAAGAAAAAGTATGTGAACCCTTTGGAATGATATAGATTTCTGCACAAATTGGTCATAAAATGTGATCTGATCATCATCTAAGTCACAACAATAGACCATCACAGTCTGCTTAAAGTAATAACACACAAAGAACGAAATTTTGCCATGTTTTTATTGCACACCATGTAAACATTCACAGTACAGGTGGAAAAAATATGTGAACCCTTGGATTTAATAACTGGTTGAACCTCCTTTGGCAGCAATAACTTCAACCAAACGTTTCCTGTAGTTGCAGATCAGACGTGCACAATGGTCAGGAGTAATTCTTGACCATTCCTCTTTACAGAACTGTTTCAGTTCAGCAATTTTCTTGGGATGTCTGGTGTGAATCGCTTTCTTGAGGTCATGCCACAGCATCTCAATCGGGTTGAGGTCAGGACTCTGACTGGGCCACTTCAGAAGGCGTATTTTCTTCTGTTTAAGCCATTCTGTTGTTGATTTACTTCTATGCTTTGGGTCATTGTCCTGTTGCAATACCCATCTTCTGTTGAGCTTCAGCTGGTAGACAGATTGCCTTAAGTTCTCCTGCAAAATGTCTTGATAAACTTGAGAATTCATTTTTCCTTCGATGATAGCAATCCGTCCAGGCCCTAACGCAGCAAAGCAGCCCCAAACCATGATGCCCCCACCACACTACTTCACAGTTGGGATGAGGTTTTGATGTTGGTGTGCTGTGCCTGTTTTTTGCTACACGTAGTGTTGTGTGCTTCTTCCAAACAACTCAACTTTGGTTTCATCTGTCCACAGAATATTTTGCCAGTACCGCTGTGGAACATCCAAGTGCTCTTGTGCAAACTGTAAACGTGCAGCAATGTTTTGTTTGGACAGCAGTGGCTTCCTCTGTGGTATCCTCCCATGAAATCCATTCTTGTTTAGTGTTTTACGTATTGTAGATTCGCTAACAGGGATGTTATTATTTGCCAGTGACTTTTGTAAGTCTTTAGCTGACACTCTCTAGGATTCTTCTTCACCTCATTGAGCAGTCTGCGCTGTGCTCTTGCAGTCATCTTTACAGGACGGCCACTCCTAGGGAGAGTAGTAGCAGTGCTGAACTTTTATAGACAATTTGTCTTACCGTGGACTGATGAACAGCAAAGCTTTTGGAGATTCTTTTATAACCCTTTCCAGCTTTATGCAATTCAACAATTCTTAATCGTAGGTCTTCTGAGAGCTCTTTTGTGTGAGGCATCATTCACATCAGGCAATGCTTCTTGTGAAAAGCAAACCCAGAACTGGTGTGTGTTTTTTATAGGGCAGGGCAGCTGTAACCAACACCTCCAATCTCATCTCATTGATTGGACTCCAGTTGGCTGACATCTCACTCCAATTAGCTCTTGGAGATGTCATTAGTCTAGGGGTTCACATACTTTTTCCACCTGCACTGTGAATGTTTACACGGTGTGTTCAATAAAAACATGGCAACATTTCATTCTTTGTGTGTTATTAGTTTAAGCCGACTGTGATTGTCTATTGTTGTGACTTAGATGATGATCAGATCACATTTTCTGACCAATTTGTGCAGAAATCCATATCATTCCAAAGGGTTCACATACTTTTTTATGCAACTGTATGTCCTCTTATAGTACAACAAATGATCCACAATCAGTTTGACTATATTCCCATTTAAAATTCTGTTTACACATTAGTGTAGCTATCTCATTGTGCAATCTGTAATAGAACATTCTAAAATCTGGTTCTAATATGCTAAAATCTGTTTCCTCGAAGTACATATATGGTCTGGTATCTTAAAAATCCTTTTATCTATCTCTGGCATCTTATTAATTTTCTCTAACAAGAGGCTTCCTTCATTATTTAATTTATGATAGATTACAGTCAACAATAGTCAGGGTTCAGCAGGCTTGACCAGTAAATATCTAGAAATAGTCTAGAAATGGTGTAGAAATGTGAGCCCAATTTTCCTGGTGCAGTAAGGCAGATCTGTCACTTGAAGAAAACCAAACTGGTTTAGCAAGGTAGTTTAAATAGTAGAATTTTGTCCACCTGCTGTGATACTCTGCTGTAGGCATTATGGATGTCCTAGTGAACTTCCACTTATTTTCTGTTTTCTGTTCCAGTTATAAAATGTGTTAAGAGATTTAAAGTGTTAGAACATACTGTGCAAATCATGAATAGATAATCTGGTTAATGCAAGACATTATCCCTCAAAACAAGATATATTTGTATGTTGTATATATTGGCCCCTGCACCAGCAGCACCTTATAATACATGCATGTTCAGGGGAGTGCAGCCCTAGCCATCTTTGGTTTCATATCTCCCTCTTTCCCTCCTCTTAACATGTTACAACGGGCATTTATATATATATCTCTCATTTCTGATTATACATATGGGTGGCTAGCAAAAAGTTTGGTCTGATGAAAATATAAACAGATTGGAAAGCAGCCCTAAATCTAGCAAAGGTGAACTTGATGGAAACCACATTTATGCAGGTGCTTGTGAGGGAAAGGGATGCTTGCTCGGGTGAGAAGCCCCAAGATCACCTTTGTACACTTTGAATAAAATACAAAAAACACAAGGAATCCAGGCCATTTTTTTTTTTTACTGCAAAGCTGGGATAGTACTGTCTTGGAATGGTTGAAATGAAATCACTCCTAACATCATTGTTAAAGAAACAACCAATATACAACCAAGTTATCAGGTTCCACTGAGTACTTTACCCTCTGTTCTTTGCGTACTCTAGAACAGTAAATATTACTGTTAATACTGTTTGTATAGTAAATATTTTATATTTATATCCTATAAGCCTCCAACAAACTATTCTTTGTCGTTGCAATTCTGTTAGCACTAGAGCCCTCTTATGGAGAAAACTGTTCCTTACGGTTAAATTACATTAATGTTTTTATACATCTGTATAGAAGTAAGAAGATACGTAATATAATTGCAAATTTAGATTTTTCCATCCTATTTTTCGTTACTTTAACTCTAATGTAGCAGCTATTTGAAGTGAAATAAAGAAATAAAAAAGACATGCTACCACACAGACTATTATTATTATTATTACTGATTTTTATATAGCGCCAACATATTCCATAGTGCTTAACAGCCTATACTAGAATTTGTTGGAGCAATATAATAGGAATGGATGAAGACTTACTGCAGGGCTCAATCTTTGTTACGCCATTACGGTTAGTTATGTTAGTTATAAGTTCTTCTTGTACATTTTTAGAAGACCTATGGTAATTTGAAATGAAGCAATGCTTGCTCACCACAGATTCTTCAGAATTAGGTACCGTGGGATTCTACAGCAGATGTTGGAGACCAGATGCAAGAGATGGTGCACGTCTTTTTGTAACCAAACTAGTGAGTGACCATGTTAGATGGTCACACAGATTGATAAAAGTTTAGGCTGCTGGTGAACACTTTTGAGGATGTCTGAGTCCAGGGTAATGATGGCCAGTAGGCAGATGCCCAGTGTAGTAGAGGTAAAGCATCATATAAGTTATAGTTTGACATCAGCCTGGAATCTGTCCTAGTTTATATACTCAGGCATCAGGTGCAGATTATATAGGGCACAAAACACCCCTCTTTCCCCCCTCCCCCCCTTCATCTGTATGACCTGTTAAATTAACTTAAGGATATAAATATTTTTACACTGAATAAAACCCAATAAAGATACACACTTCCATTGACAATCACATGCTGATTGTGCCAAATTTTGTAGTAAGAACGTTTTACTCTTTCTGTGCTGAGCACTATGAGCTGTTGGAGTTCATTTGATACCTGTAGACACAAAATAAGTGCATGATAGGTCAAAATGGCCTTTAAAAAATAAATTTCCGCATTACAAATTTTTACATTTACATGTTATTATTGGGGCTGTATGTTTTTTAAACTGCATCAGCTGGTCTAAATTGGTCAAGCTCCCTGTGTAGCTAACAAGTTTCATTGTTATTCGTGAAATCTCTGTTAGCTCAAACAATATTCATTAAACGTTTTATTCCATAGTGTTTTTAGTGCAACCATATGCAACATTGGGCAATAGCGGGCAAGAGATGCCCTGAATATTGCCCTTCCAGTGCTGTAAATAATGTCTTATTTAGATAATAGCTTTGCTACCTGCCCAACTTGATAGCTTTTCTGTGGACACCCCTGAGCGCAGCAGGTTTGGTCATAAGATTTAATGTAGCCCAGATTAAATTACTCACGCAAAGATCTGCTTGTATGTAGTCAGAGGCCAATAATTTATACCTTCTAAAGCACTGTAACACTTTTTTTTTTTTTTTTTACCCACTAAAACAGTGGTTTAAACAAAGATTTTTGAACAAGGAATGCCAATCAGTTACCATGTTAATATTTTTAACAGTGGAGATTAAACTACTATTCAGTGTGTTTAACAAATTGGCCAAAGTGTATCTAGAGCGAGTTTCTGACCACTTGAAAGTGACATTAACGCTTACTTTTTACACATGAACGTTCGTGAACACGCACAAATAATTATATAAACTAAACTTATAGATGATCAACAAGTGCATTGCAAGTTTACTAACCCAGTTAATTTTGTCTAAAAATCATTCAACTCTGTTTTGGCTTGTAATATGCATGTCCCTCGTCTGTTTTTCTGAAATCTCCACAAACACCTCACAAGAAAACTTCAAAACGTGGGTATTTTTTATTAGATAAACCTTGAAACTGTGTAATGACACGTCATGTGTTGTTAATCTGAGGTTGTATTAACTAATTTTAAAGAACACTATAGTCATCAGAACAACTACAGCTTAATGTAGTTGTTCTGGTGAGTATAATCATTACCTGCAGGCATTTTCATGTAAACACTGCCTTTTCAGAGAAAAGGCAGGGTTTACATTGCCTCTAGGGACACCTCCAAGTGGCCGCCTCTCAGATGGCAACTGGAGGTGCTTCCTGGGTCAGTGCTGCCGAAAAAGTTTGGCACGTTTTCCTAACTCTGCGGTGCAATCATGGACAATACAACTACGCAATGTTTTTTACTTTTGTGCATCTCCCACATATCTCAAGTTGGATTTTTAAAGTGTCCTTGAGAAATCATGTTGCCACAACTATATCCGAGTCCCCAGTGTATTGTGTTTTAAACTGTGGGTAACTGTGCAACTGAAGAGTGAAGTCTAACACACAATCCTTGCCGATGCTCATTTGCATGTCACTCTAGGATTACTGGGATAGTTGTGGAAATATGATTTCACATGTTTCTGTGCCTAAGAATGACACTTCAACTGAAGATATTGAATTTATCTGATTATCAATGAACTAAGTGGGTTTTAGAAGTCCAAATTTACATTATATTGTAATGGCAGCACAATTTAGCATTTTAGTAAATTAGGAATACACCTAAATAGTACACTGCCTAAAAACACCCTAACCTCTTACTCTATTTGTATGGTTTTAACCCCTTAAGGACACATGATGTGTGACTTGTCATGATTCCCTTTTATTCCAGAAGTTTGGTCCTTAAGGGGTTAAATCCTTTCTTTTTAACTGTTTAGAATACAAAATGTATCCTAGACTTCCTTTAACAGATGTGATAAGCATTTTTCTGAATTAACTGGCAACGTAGCACCTGGGTATACAATTTGTACAAAATCTTTTGGTTTCTGAGCTAATATTTATAGATCAGTGGGATGGACTCTGTCAGTGACTTTCCTATATGAAGTTCTGTGTTCACACAAATTGTAGTGTTTTTTTGTTTTTGTTTTTGTCAGTTGTGGGATTGCACATAAACTACTTTGCAGCCATTGGACTTCATAACTGGAAATGTGTAAAATACTTGTCTGAAACCCTTGCAATGATTTTTCTGTACTTCATACATCCTTGACTGGTGACGTTACTATAAGTCAAAGTAGGACAACAGATGCAGTTACTATAACCAGATTCTTTTTTTTTTTTTTTTTTTTTTAAGAATGAAATAAAAGATGCCTTTTCCCTTATTTTTCCTCGTACAGGATTTCTCCTATTTCTCAGAGGCTTCATTAATTATGCAAAGGTCCGGAAGATGCCTGATAACTTCTCTACTCTGCCCAGGACCAGAGTTCTCTTTATCTATTAAAGGTATAATTATCTGTTCTATCAAACTATCTTTATGCTTACCTTCAATATCCCATTATATATAATATATAACATTTCTACTGCATTTCGTGTTAAATGGTTTAAACAGAATCCCCGGTTATCTGCTTTTATGAGAATGTGTCTGGAATCACTTCACAGCCATTCATTTGCCTTGCTTAAAGGAACACTCCAAGCTCACAACCATTACAGGACAATTTAGAGGTTATGGTGCCAGGGGTGCTCTGCACTCTTTCAGGGTTGGTAGTCAATCAATTTGCGAACTATTTGAAAACTCACCTAGGGTCCATCAGTCACCTCCTCCTGTGTAGTGACCTACTCTGGCGGTGCATGGCTTAGCTCGTTGGTGAAAGTGTCCGGCTGATCCTCTTTGTCAATGTTCTAGCCCAGCAATGCTTTACTCTGTGGAGCCAAGGGTAGCTACTTGCAAGAGCATCAGGCTCCACTAGAAGCTGTAACCTTTGCCTGGTGTACCCAAGGCAAGTTGTCAATCTGCTCGCAAGGTGTTTTCTATTTTCCCTGGGAGAGTGCTTCTGGCACAATAACCGCTACAGTGAGAAAAAATCTTCAACATCTTTAAAAAAATTAATAAAAAAAATCTATTGTACAAATAGAGTGCATATGACTCGTACTGTCCTGAGCTTTGCTCGTGGAAAAACTGTTTCTGTATATGTACTTTGTCAAGATCATTAGATCAGGTATGGGTTGCATATTTAAAGAAGAAGCTTATCTCCAAGAGTAATTGCTTAATGAATTTAGCTTGATATTAACTTCATAGTGGCTCTAATTAAGTAGGCAGAGCAGAACAGTCCGATTAAAAAATAAAAAATAAATACACACTATATTTTTATATTATATACATACACAAAAAATATTAAAACTACAACAAATAGATAAAAAATACATAATGACTGAATGCCTGTTCCTAAAAATGAAGTTTAGTTTTCAAATAAGAAGTGTTCATCTCCTACATCTACATAGTAGTAGGTAATCTCAGTTTTACCTGGAACAAACTGAAAAATACATAAAAAATGTGAACAGGCACTAAAAATGCTGCATGAAAAGTTCTCTCCACCAGGTACACTTTAAGGTGACCTTTAAATAAAAGCCCAGTGATCATTTAGCGGCAGAAACTATAATAAAATTATACATTGTTGTGCCTAAAGTGAGTAGATTAGAAGTCCAAGTAAAATGCTGTTGTATTTTCTCCAAGTAATGTTCAGTTAAAGGATAAGGTGAGCTTATAACAAATGTACCATTCATTAGTGTAAAAATATGTAAATAGCATAGAACTTATCCTGTGGAACAAAAATAAAGTTGCAAACATGTATATTTTAGAAAGAGTTTGTAGACTTTCACTTTTATGGCAATACTGGTTGCAGTACATGCCGCTGCCGCGCACTGTCAAAAGATTATCTTGTACCATAGCAAACCGCGCCACCTGATAGCTACAGTCCACACTCTTGGAGGTGACAAGATCCCCTTTAAATGTAGTTATTAGCTAAAATTAATTTATCAGAGTTCAACTGGAATTGCCCAGGGGCAGGCAAATCTGGTAAATAAAGTAATTTGCTATTTGGCAAGGAAATTTTGTAAAATCCAGACTATTTGCCCACTGACAATGTGAGAAGCCTGCATGAAATTATTTAAAAACAAACAAAAAATAACTTCTTAGGCAGCAAGAGGATTAAATGTGGCTTTGAATCTCTATCACCTGCTCAACTTTTAATACCATATGTTCTGGGCAATGGGATAAGTATATGAGATTAATAGGGGAAGGGGGGGGGGGGGCTTTCTGTTGACCCCTTAACATCCCCACCACTTCCCAGCAGTGGAGGCATTTAAATAACGAAAAAACAAAATAGTAGCTGGGGTGAGTAGAGTAGAAATTCACCCTTGGTGGGTGTGCTGTGCATCCTCTAAGCTTACAGTGTCGAGGATCTATTAAGGGCTGGCTATTATTGTAGGAATACTCAGTAGTATGGTTGGTATAGGTCAGTAAAATAACTGGGGAGGCCCTAGCAATGGTTCTCTCCCCACGTATGGGCATCAGGTGGATGCTAAACAATAATAGTGGCGATGGACATACCATTTTCCACACCCTTTTCCCTCTTGCCCCCCAAGATGTACCCTTGACCCAACCCATGGAATGCAGGTGGGGAGATAATTATAATAGAACAGGATATGAACAACCTCCTGCCCACACTTTCACCCATGGCAATTTTGTGGCGGTTGTAGTACAATAAGTGGGTAGACACATAATTGTTCACCACACTATACCCTCGGACCACCAATGCCATCAGGTGGAGAATTGTATGTTATATAAAGGTGTGAGCAGGTCAACAGCTCCCTCACCCTTGCCCTTCATCCTCAATGTTTTTTTCTGCCTACCCATCTATACTAGTTATAGTAAAGCCTTTAAAAAAAAAAAAAAAAAAAACTTATACCATTAGAATTTTATTTTATTTATTTCTTAAACAATCCCTAAATATAATCAATTCAAACCACATAATGTACATAGACCTGCAAGGCATTATTTTGTGATTCAACTAATCAGCAGGTAGAATGAGCCACCCTCCAGAAGGAAATAGACTGCCAGCTGGGAGCTCCACTCTGTGCTAATTATTATTATTAACTTGAAGCTTGATACGATGTGCACCTTGTCAGATAACATTATTCACGCAATATAGTCTGTAGATACATTCATTGCGTAACACACGCTATTGATTACAAAAAAGAATAAAAAGGTCCAAGCAAAATTTTATCTTTCTACAAAACAAGCATGAACAAGTTGACTATTTCATATGAATTTAGTACAGAAGACCATGCAGAAAACTGCTGCTTAGTGTTTCAGACTATTTTTTTTTATTTTTTTTTTAAAGGGCACCATAAGCAACATATCCATTACAGCTTGCTGTAGTAGATTTGTTGCTTGGTGTCCTCTGGTGCTGCCTCTCCGTTTAATCATAATACAGATTAAGGAACAGCGTACACATTAAAAAAATATAAATATATACAGTTTTACATTTTATAAGGCTACTTAACATCAACTATCTCGGCAAACAAATATGGAGATTCAGTTCAACCATATGGCTATATCATGTTAATGCATTTATTTTTTTTCATTTGAAATTTTTATTATATTTTCAAATTAAGTTGAGGATTGGGGTACAGAAACAAAAAAGGGGAGGAGAGGGGGAGTCATCTTTGGTACAATGCATTTTAAAAACAACTGAGTGTCATAGCATGTTTTATACATTCATAGAATGTTGATACAATAAGGTAATAAAGGTTGTCAACAGTTCAATGCCAATATGGTTCATGGATCATAAAAAAAAAAAAAAAGAGGTGTGTACAGGGGGCGTGGCTAGCATGTTCATGGAGTAAGTCGCACACTCCCAAGGCTCTGCAACTTCTGCCCACATAGCCCCTAATAATAAGCACTCTTACCCTCCGAAATGGGGAAACCGTGACTCCTGGACCCTCAACCTCTGGTTCACCGAGGCGAACAGCGGGCCCTATGGATGAATTCCTATCCACCCCCGATAGCCTCCGACACATGTGGCCGGCAGAATAGATGGCGCCGAACTCTCCTGGCGCGAATAGCATAGCAGACTCCCTGCCGGGCTCCCTGCGAGCTGAATCACTGACCCAGATCTCAGCCTTACTGGCTACAATCTCTGCCAACATGCTCACTAGGGCTGACAAAACAGCCTTAGTGGCAGAGCTGTGCTCTGTGATAAGGGAGGAAATCCAGGAAGTGCGCAGGGACCTCACTGCCCTCGAGCATCGGGTCACCTAGCTGGAAGCTGACTGTCTGCAGGCCTACCAACACTCTCAAGCAGCTGACAATGAAACCTCCAGGCAGGGCACAGTTCTCGAGGACCTTGACGATCGAGGCCAACAAAATAATATATGCATCAGAAAACTACCCGAGCGAGAAGACTAGATTCTTGTTGATACCCTGACACAGCTATTTACACAGATCACGTGCCCACGTGTCCAGTGCCGCCTGACCCACAGTGTGCCGACCTTGAGACACTGGCGCCCCCTTGTTCCCATATTGCCTCGGAAGCATGATGGATGAAGACCACAGGGGGTATTTACACTACTGACCCCGCAGCCCCCGTGACACTTGATATTGCCACCTCCGGGGTTGTATCCCCTGCATAGACCGGGACTGTGAAATTGGCAATGAGTGGGAGATGTTTGTTTGAGTGTGGGAACGTGGGTACTAGACCTCCCATGCAGTGTCTGCTTGGAGGGGTGCAGCCAGTTGCCTGGTGTACTCTGCACGGGGAACATGTGTACACAACTAGCCCTAATCGCCACAGTAGCCTAAGAACTAGGCTGCTAGGCCCGAGACTGTTCCCTGCTGACCCTGTCTGCCATGCCCATCTTGGCCATATCCTGGTATACCGATAGCTTGTCCAGCAGGGACCGGCTCCCACAGTGTTGGGTATGCTCTCCACGATTTCCCGTGCATGCGGTGTGCCTGTGATGAGTCCTTAACGTCCCTGAAAAATGCAAACCGCTCCTGCGGACACTGGTCACACAGGGCATTGGTAGCATTTTTGCAGGAGACACACTTTAAAGAAGGGAGTGCCCCTGCGCTAGGAGACAGGTGTTTCCCACAGGGCTAATTCACAAACCACCAGGAAGCCAAGTGATCTGGAGTAGCCATACTCTTTGCGCAGACAGTACCATTCCAATGCACAGCCACGCAGGTGGACCCACTAGGTCGGTATCTCTTTGTGAAGGGTATCATAGCGGACCGTCCATAATCTCTGGCTGACATATACTGCCCCAACTGGGGTCAACATTTATTCCTGGCTTGGACCCTGTCCCTCCTGGAGTGGTTTAGAGAGGGTCTTCTGGTGTTGGTGGGGGACCTGAATCTACTACTAAACCCGTGCGTGGACTCTTCTAGGGGCACTAGTGCAATTCCTACACACTGCATACACTGGGCCAAACTTGCTGGAGGGTGGCTCACCTGGATGGCAGAGACTGCCACTCTGCCGCTCTCAACCAATACAGCAGGATCGACTATATCTTCGTAGCACAGGAATTCCTCCCCTTGCTAATTACCGCAGACATAGGGATCCACTGGGACTCGGACCATGCCCCTGTTGCCATCCAGCTTAACTCGCCCCTATTTAAACCAAAGGAACAACAATGGAGACTGAACGTTTTATCCGACGCAGAGAGTGTAGCACTGACCGTACAAGCACTTACTCAATATTTCGAAACCAATGCCTCCACTGATGTATCCCCGTTAATAACTTGGAAGGCGCATAAATGCGTCATCGGAGGGTATTATTAAAAAAAAAAAAAAAAAAATCTGCATACAACGTAAACAAGAGAATGCCAGACAAGTGGTAGAATTGACCAGACGAATAGCTGGCCTAGAGACCGCACACAAACGAGAAATGACAAGAGGTATACCTACGACTGATGCACGTAGACGACTCAGACTTCCTCTCCCAGAAACTTCTCAATATGATTCGTAAGTCCAATCGATACTTTTTTGAGTACTCGTACAAATGGGGCAGACTGCTGGTGCAGACCCTGCAACAAAGACAGAGGTAATGCCACATCCACAAAATAAATGCCCACAATCTAACATGAGGACATGAGGAAGTTGAGTGTGTGCTTTTTGCTCTTTGGATGCTCTGGACTCCGCTTATTTTGGCTCCTCAAGAAATGAGCTATGGGAGCTTCACATATGTGCAGCCGGTCAGTTCAAGCTCCAGTTCACGCCCCCTCAATACATTTTTTAAAATTGTATTTATCACATTCATTTTGTGTGTGTGTGTGTGTGTGTGTGTGTGTGTGTGTATATATATATATATATATATATATATATATATATATATATATATATATATATATATATATATATATATATATATATATTCACAATGCTCTTACAACAGATTATTTAAATACACTTTAGTTCATTTAGCACTAGCTCTATTAATTTGTCTTCCACGTTGGAATTAGTGTAGGACCCACTGATATTGGGGTACTGTGAAGTAGCTGTGGCTTAACCATATGGTTATACCATATGGTGGTACTGAATCCCCCATTTGTTTGCTGAATTAAGTGATTTTAAGTAGCTTTGCAAAATTTAAAACTGTATTCTAAAAAAGTAATTTTTATTTTTTTATTTGTGCATAGTATCCAGTCTGTATTATGGATACATTTTGGTCTCTATGGCAGCACCATTCCTGTAAAATTAATGTTCCAATTGGGCCCCCAAATCCCTGTTTGTCTTGCCTCTCAGTTTAATATCCAACGGTTTAAATGCAGTTTGATATGAATGGCAGGTTTTCTTGACCGTCTACACATCCACTTTGTGTAGTTCCATATTGTCGAAGAACAGTTTTATATACCCGTCTCCATCTCTGCTATATTGATAGTTTGAAATTGTTATGCTGAGGTCAGTGCCAGGGCACTCTAGGAAACATAACCACTACCACAAGTCTAATTGCTTATGATGCTCAGTTTGTCCCTTTAAAGGGGCTGTATTCTGTTCAGAGTTTATGCGATCTCTAATTTACATGTAATTTACACATCAGTGCTTTGCAATCTGTAAACTATTATCATGAAAGTCCCATGTATCATAACCCTTGAGGGGTGTAGCTTGATACCCCTGGTTTAATGCAATACAGGAAATATATCAGGCCCATTAATATAAAAGGCCTGATATCCATTACAAATAGGAAGTAGTATTTTAGGTTTTAAAAACATAATTATAATAATTTCCAAGAATCTTTAGCAGCTAGATTTAGGAGTAGATAAATAGATAATCTTTAATATATAAAGCAAAAGGTATGTGTTAATTTTAAAGGGACACACCAGTCAGTATTTGTCCCATGCTGGTTTTTAATGCTTAATAAAATACCGCAAAAACAAGAATATGAAATTAATAAAAATGTTTGATATTGAAGAATTTTATGCAAAACTCCAGACTGTGCAGAATTTGCAATGTACTCGTGCTTTCTTTCTTTTTGAATATTGAGTATTGAAGAGGTCAGTGTGTATAGGCACAATAAGCGTTTTGGATGCTGTAGTTAGAAGACCATATTAATGAAGTGGTCTGGGTGCAATCTAAAGCATTGCTGTTTAGTTCATTCGCCAATCCTTACATTGCAGGATTTAATATGCATCTAGTGGCAGCCTACCTGACAGCCAGTAATTGTGCTTTCACTGTGAGAACAGAGTCAATCTTTGTTCTCACAGCTAGCTTCCAATATAAGTTATTGTGTGATTTAAAGGAACAGTGTAGTGTTAGGAATACAAACCTGTAACACTATTTGCAGGTTTTTTGTTTGTTTTTTTTAACCCCCTCCTCCCTCCCCCCCCCCAATATCCAGTAATAATTATTAATTTATTTATTTTAAAACTAACATTTAGTCCAGTGCAGAAACCCCTTGGAGCTGCAAGTCACTCATTCTCCTGCAACATCATACACCTCTCTACCTTATGGGCAATCCAATGCAGAGGAGTATTGGAAACTGATGCGCAAGTGAAAGTAGGAAAGCAAAAAAGTAAATTGGCTTCTGCGTCAAATGACCATTTTTTGTCTGGATCTAACCCTGCAGTTTAAACATTGCGATTTCTAAAAAAAAAACTGAAATGTTTTATATTGCAGTATTAAAACCAAATGACACAGACCACTTCATTGGGATGAAGTAATCTGGGTGGGTTTTGTGGTGGTCCTTTTTAATTGTTCGTCTTTCTCCATGACACAGAGCAACTGAACCGTGTCTTAGACAGAGATTTTTATCCTCTTTCTTTCTCTGCTGGATGAGGAACAGGAATGCCAAGAAGATTTTTGACATATTTGCTTTGCAATGCAAAGCAATGGCCACAAATCACTTGTATACATCCAATTGGTAGTGTAGGGGTTTAATAGGCAAGACCTCTTGCAGCATTCATATCACGGATGTGCTCAGAGGCTGCAATGTTGTATTATTTTAATCTAATATAATTTGTTAGGGCTTGGTATCAACTTGTACAATACCTTGAATGGAGGAATCCTTACGTCTCTAGTATGGTGGTAATGAGGCTCTGCTTGGCATCTTACAACACATAACTAGAAAGGCATCATGTTAGCCACTGGTTTCTATAATAAACAATATAATTAGTTTGTGCCTTCCTAAATAGAGAACATCATGTTCTAATACATTGTGTACTCATCTCTCACGTCAACTCTACCATACGTATCTGGTATATATAACCTTCTTACAGGAAAGAAGTACAATTCTTTCATTCATGATCTCATATCCTTTTTTGTTTACAGATGTCTTTGGGGTCCTGACCTTCCTGCAATCACATGCTTATCCTTTACCGAGGCACCACAAACACCTGCAGGAAGAGAACTGAAACACCGAAGGGATTAAAAATGACCTGCTACATTTAGAAATAAAACAAAATCCCAAAAAGAAGCAACGGCAAGCAAACAAAAAGTACTGTTGAAAACGAAGAAGAAATTAAGCATATTTTTTTGTTGTTTGTTTCTAGGTGTAAAACTTTAATAGTTATTTGCGAATTTCTGTTATTATGGAATCATTAGTGGCTATTGTTAAAATCAAAGTTCTAGCAATCAACTTTGTGACGTACTAATAAAGCCTTATATATTGTTTGTATAAAATAAATTCCACACCATTGACTATGCTCCTTCTACCAGTAGAGGGCAGTCTTGCTTCAGCTTTTCCCATCTCTTAATTTGACAGCAGTGCAAATGTTTTAGTGTACTATATTGTGTTTTGCTTTGCGGAAACGGTTATAGCCTGACAGGCAACAGTTTATGATAGTCCAGTCCTTACAATTAGTGTGAGTAACTTGGTGTAACATAAACTGTCTTAATTTCAATCACCTTCCAAACATAGGAATACGTGTTCAGCATCTTGTGCAGATATGTAAAAAACACAAACATGTAATTGGTTTTCTCATCATGATTTTTACATTTTGAAATACTCCCCTATATCTTGTACATACACAGACAAGAAGGCTTTAAAAAAAACAAAAAAACATTGAATGGAATCATAAAGAAAATATAAATGCAGTATATCTGAAAATGAAAGCTTGTATTTGATTTCACAAATTTCTTTCTTTTTTTTTTTTTTAAATTTATAGTATTTCCATAGAAGTCGCCGCACCTAAGGCATTGTATAAGAAGTGTACTGTGCAGTGGCAGTTTTATTAAACATCTCTTTGAACAGATATGAAGCCCACATTAGTGTATTTGAACTTGTTAGGTTAGTTTCATAGAGCCGCTAGAAGATTTTGTTTTTTGCATATTAATCATATTTTCTCTGTGAGAGAAACTAGCAATGTGTCTGCCAGAAGAGGGTTAATTTGAACTACAAACCCTCCAGTTCGTCCAATCAATCAGTTTACAATAAAGGCACCCTGTACTGTATGTATGAAGGATAATGAGTTCAAAGGCAACTCTGCCACAAAGTATCCTTTTTTACATTATAGCCTGTTTAATTTTGCTAAATTAGTGTTATCATGTATTCTTAATTGGAACAATGTAATGTGTAGTTGGAAATAACCCATCAGAGAAAAATGTAGTTTTCATTCACATGTAAATTTTATAAAACTTAATTTGTAGTTACACAGTTTATATGCAAATAAGTGTAACTATTGTGGATCTATTGTAACCACACGATCTGTGAACAGCAATTGCACACTGGCTACTCAAGATTAGGATAGGCAACATTTTTGCATCTCAGAATCACAGTTCTTACTTGTGTTAAGTGTCCAGAGACTTCCATATGATATGGTAAGATGCCATTCACAGAATTATACCTCCAATCATTGTTCTGCTGTCGTATCTCAGAATAACTTTAGTCTGCACATTGTGACTTGGAAAATCTCTGGTCACTTCACAAAATGGAACGAGTGTTTGAATGTTTTAGGATTATTATTATTATTTTTTAATAGGGGACAAGCTGTCTTGTTTGGGGTGCTATTGGGGGCAAACCATAACATACCTGTACTTTTCTTGTGCTTTTAAATTGTGTAAGCGAATCTTTGCATTTTGTGTAGACTGATATGCACCTTTTTTTGCCAAGAGGCAATTCACTTCAAAGTTTTACGATGTTAAAAATGTAAATATAGCAGAATATTAATAAATGTCACTTATGTAGCAAACTTGTGAGTATATTCATTAGCTTTACCAGATATCCTGTAGTAAATGAGTAATCTGTACACACGGATGATCAGGAGGTAAATGAGTAAACCAGGGGTTGGCAACCTACGGCACTAGTGCCATGCACGGCACTCAAGGTGTCTTTGCATGGCACTCAAGGCTGCTACAGCCAAACAAGCTCTGGCCTATCAGGAGTCCCAGTGAAACTTCAGATATCTGCTAATACGAAAAGGTGGTGAAGGACAATCCTCAATTTACGCATTGCAGCAAATAGAGTAAGTGATCTCAGATCACTTCCTCCCAGCACTTGTGAATGGGAATCCACACTGTAGTAGAGCAGCCTGCAGCTGCTGTTGCAGCTCCTGTCCTTGACCTGTACCTGGCCTGCCTGGTCTCCACTGGAACCCAGGGAAGCCACCCATACTGCTAGATTTAATCATACAAATACGAACAGCCCACAAACAAACATACACACAATCCGCACAAACGTAACCCGCTAACAATCCACATACATGCACACAACCCCACATGCAGCCTCTCACATGCAATACCCCAAACATACACACACTACGAAACACACAATGTGGCATATCCATCCACACACACAGTTCCACAAGCAGCCCCCATACACAGCCCACATTCATATGTATCATACACAATACCACAAACTACTCCTGAACATATACAATATAATGGCTCATATAGCACAAATACAACGATACAAAGCAACTACAGTATAAATAACACAAGCAGAATACGGCAGCATACGCACCTCAATTTTAAAAAATAGGACAGGCATGCTATGGACATCACAATCCTATATCGGCACAGTGCTGCTAAAAGGTTGCCTACCCCTGGAGTAAACTAAAGTCACCAGAATCACTACAGCTTAGTTATTTGCGAATTTCTGTTGTCTATAGCCTGTCCCTGATGTAAACGTTGCCTAGGAACACCTTTTAGTCCTAGTCACTCAAATGGCCACTAGAGGTGCTTTCTGTGTCACACTCAGCATGGAGTAAACAAGCTTTACAGACCACACAGCAGGGAAAAAAAAAAAGCTTAGCCAATGCCCACCAGGCAAAAACCACTGCCACGATAAGAGATACGTTTTGATTCTATAGGCGTGCAACCCCCAGCTTCAGCACAATAGTCTTACATCTCTAGCCACGTTTAGCATTTAGACTGCGATCTTCCCACAGAATGTGCCCATTGGAGCAGATTGAGGATTTCCTGAAGGTATGAGCTGTACATGGGATTTCTCCCGGATTGTAGTTGGGAACAGGACTCTTGGCGATGAAGTGTCGAACTCAGCCTCTTATCCTGTCTCAACTGTTGCAGTATCCCTCTGGGGACATTCGGTGTAACTATCGCCATGAGGACTTCAAGGGGTTTAAGTCTTCAAATTTATGTCCAGAAGAATGGATGCAGAACCAATGGCTCAATGGTATAGTTTTGCCTTAAAATTGTGAGCATAATTGGTTTTAGTAAGCGGGTTCATGTGGGAGTTTGTCGTGAATGTGTGTGGTAAAGACCCTTATCAGTGGCCATCTTCAATAGTAGGTTTCAGTTTACCAACCTCACTGGACTGCAGAAGTCTCCCAGTGTAGTAGATCAGCATACCAGTGTGGACCAGGATATCCCCATCTAGTCCATCTACCCCACCTTAATGGTGTCTGCAGTCTGCTGAGTCCATTGCAGGAAATCCTCTCTTGTCCAGCCTAGTGAAATTCAAAATGCTCAGCTTGGTATTCTGCAATGATTAGTACAAAGTACTTGCAGAAAATAATGTAGTTTTGCAAGTTACATTGACTTTCATGTTTTCCTAGAGGAGAATCCGCTACATATGACTGTTAGGGGGCATGGCCTAACCTATATATCATCTGTTACCTTTTTTAAACTCCTACTCATGGCTTAGCTACAACAAAGTTATTTTGGGTATTCCTTGATACTCTGCTGTGTGCAACAATTTGGTTACATGATTATTCAATTTTGGCTTGGAAAATAGAATTTTCATTTTATTATTTTTTTTGTCTTTTACTGCAAGGTATTCTAACTTCTGGCTCTTCGAACACTCCTTCAAAATCAAGGGCTCAAGCGGTGATACTATTATATTATCTGTAGAGACCACTGATTTGTATATCAATCCATGCTTTGCATATTTTGTAAATACCTCCAAAGGTGACATACCTGCTTGGTGTAAAAGCCGTAAGCAAATCTACTGACTTGAATTCCTGTGGAACTAACAAAACTTGGCAGGGGAACCTCTACCTCTTGTCAAGTATTTGCACTTTCAGGAATTTAATTGAGTATTTCATAAAGATTTCAACTTCATAAAACGTAGAAATTCGGACCTTGATTTAATATTTTTTGCTTTCCAAATTATTTCTTATTTTGAATTATTTATTTATTTATTTATTATAATTACAGGTGTGCTCAAAATTTGCATACCTTTTGGAGAATTGGTGATATATGTACCATTTTAAAAGAACACATGAGGGAGCAGGGAAAACTGATATCTTTTATTTTTTATGGGATTCATATTCAACTGTAGATTTTAACAGAATGGCATAATCATAAGATTTGGCTGGGTACCTCTAGATGGAACAGGGGAACGGACAGGGACACTATCTCTTTGCGCTCCCAGGGGCTGGACGGCACTCAGTCCTGGGAGCTCCACAGTCCTTACAATGATTTTCCTTGTAACCCCCCCTCCCCCCCCACCCTGACAATCTTTATTGAAACACACAGCTTTTATCCATTAAGTTCAACACATTCCCAGACTAGAGGGGGATGGTTTACAGATAACCATCTCCTGCCCTGGGAGATACCAAGAGCACATATAGTTATACACATTAAAACAGATTACATATATGGGGGAACACATAGGGGCTCTGCATCCTAGGAAGAGAAGAGGTTACATATATAAAACACATATCACTAGATAGTCCAGGGTCCCATCTGGGATCCCTGTAAATAGCGGGGCTATCTGATGTACAGAGCCCAGGAAACCATTGTGTAAAGTCTGGGCTCGAGGCTCTGTACATCCCCGAAATCAGTTCCATGGAATCGCTTAAATTTAGACCTGTGAATTCAAACTTCGCTCCTAAACCAAGCAATAACCAGTCAGGTGAAAGGCTCAAAACCAATTTGCGCCAATTATCGCTCAGGGAGGAGAGGACTTCGAGGCGGCCAGCGGGACGCCTGAGGCTGGGAAGCCACCTCACAGCTCCAGGAGTCCCGCTGGAGCTCGTGTCTCTCCCCGGTGGATACCTCCATGTAGGTAGCACCAGAGAGAGCGCTCTCTGAGCCGGGTTTCGTTCGTACGAACAGACAAAATACACAAAATGCATACAAATACATGGGGAAACATAGAGGAACCACACACTACACGTAAAAAACACACAAATAAGCAGTGGGCATAGTACTTAGTGGCGGTGGTCCACCACACTGTGTATTGCCCCAATGACCGCGTGCAGTCTTTTGTAATAGTTGTCTATGTAGCTTTAATTCTTGCAGGTGGTGTAGCTGCCCATTTGTCTTGGCAAAAAGCCTCCAGGTCATGCAAAGTCTTTGGTCGTCTTGCAAGAACAGCACATTTTAGATCTCCCCAGAGTGGCTCTGTGATATTAAGGTCAGAAGACTGTGATGGCCACTCCAGAACCATTACTTTTTTTCTGCTGTAACCACTGGAGGGTCAACCTGGCCTTGTGCTTAGGGTCATTGTCATGCTGGAAAGTCCAAGAGCGTTCCATGCGCAGCCTTCATGCAGAAGAATGCAAATTGTCTGCCAGTTTTTTTCTGAACTATGTTGCATTCATCTTGCCATCAATTTTCACAAGTTTCCCCATGCTTTAGAGCTCACCTCCTTCCTCCCCCAAAACATCAGTAAGCCACCACAATGCTTCACTGTGGGGATAGTATTCTTTTCACGATGAGTTGGTTGTGACCAGAGAGCTCCATTTTGGTCTTGTTACTTGAAATTACAGTGTGCCAGAAGCTGTGAGGCATGTCAAGGTGTTGTCGGGCAAATTGTAACTGTTTTTTTTGTGTGGCATTGTTGCAGTAACGGGTTCTTTCTGGCCAAAATTGGCGTTTTTTTGCATTTTTCACACAAACAGATACTAACGCTAACTTTGGCCAGTGTTTGTGACCAAATGGCTACTAAAAAAGACTGGACATACCCCATTTGCAATACCTTGGGTTGTCTACTATTGCAAATGGTATGCCATTATGGGTGTAAATTTCATTCCCGGGCTACTATACAGTCTCAAAGGCAACGTAACCAATCTGGCGAATTTCAATTTCAAATGTAGCGTGCTATATTTGACCCTGTAACTTCCCAAAACGCCATAAAACCTGTACATAGGGGGTACTGTCTTACACGTGAGACTTTACTGAATACAAATATGTGTATTTTATTGCAGTAAAAGCAAACAGTATTATGACATTGACCGTTAAAATGTCATGTAGAACTAAAAAAATCAAAAAAATCTTATTTTCTCCCATTTTTTTCATATTAAATTATGTTTCATAGCTAAATATTTGATATTAAATGAAAGCCCTGTTTCCCCTGAATAAAATGATATATAATAAGGGTGGGTGCATTTACTATGAAAGAGGTGTATTACGGTTGGACAGACATGTAGCGCAAATGCCAGGTTTTGTTTACATTTTGTTTCGTTCACACTGTGTACATTTGGCTCTGTCCTTAAGGGGTTAAGGGTAAGTAAACTTTTGATCAGGGCCATTTGGGTGATGTCTGTTATTAAGATTTAAAAAGGAGGCAAACAACTATGTGATAATTAATGGCTTCATATGATCACTTTCTTTTAATAAAATACGTTTTTGCATGGTCAGTCTCTTTTCAAAATTAGTGCCAAAATTTCACAATTTCTGACGGGGTATGCACACTTTTGAGCACAACTGTATTGTGTGTTTTTTATTTTTTGAGTATCCTAATTTAAAAAGTTTATCCAAAAATATTAAATAATTATGAACATTTATCCAACATGTTTAATCGAGTTAACTGACCCTTTAGTTGTAAACATTCATCACCTTACACATTG